GCATTGACCCGGAACAAAGAAGGACGGGCTGTGTGCCAGGGGCGGGTGGCAGCACGCGTTCGGGAGCCAGGGGTTTGGTGGGCCTGTCCAGGTATTTCCATCTCGGAGGTTGTGGGCGGAGTTGTATGTGCGCTAGCGGAAGACATGTGCTGCTCGTTGTCGACCGCTGAAAACGTGCTTGTCTTCGTATATTGAAGCGTAGCTGTGTGGATGGTGACTGCGCGCGTCAAGATGTTGTGAATTGACGTGTGCAATAGCTTTGTATGCTTTGGCGCATCTACACCTGCAGGAACACTCCTGATCCGATTGTGAACGGCACCAGGCGTGCTTTCGCGACTTCCTGCCCATTGGTTGACGGAAAGAGGCGGCGCTCATCGCCTCACATGCAGCAGCCCGGTACACGGGGAGCCTCCTACTCCGCAAGAAGAAAAACGATTGCCGTTCGTTGACGTTCGATGTTGTTGGGACCCTAACGGCGTCATGCGACAGAGAGAGGGAGAGGTAGACTAAAGGAAGAGAGACTCAGTTGTGCGTGTCTGTGCGACAAAAGCACGTTGTGCCTCTGCAGCGGAAGCCTGTAAACCCATGATAGGCACCAAATATGAGTCGAAAACACAACGGAGGCTTGGCATCGTAAAGGTCCGGGTGGAACTCGAAGGTGTTGCAACCACAGACCCGGCCCCACCTGGATACGCCCCTTGCGCTATTGGTTAATACCGTCCTCCTCAGGTGCCCAGATAAGGAATGACTGCAACAGCCCTGCCTCTTCTTGGCCTTCCCTTTCCGTTCTGACGATGATGAAGAAACCAGGCGAGGACTTTTGGGAATGTAGTCATAGAGAGGCTTGTGACCGTTGGTCACCAGCATGTGTCGGCGGTCTGTGCCCTCCTGTACATTCGCCAGGGTAGACATCCTCTGAAACCGTAACCTCTCGTGGATCGCCGATGTTACTCGGCATGCCCATGATTCGTTTCGTGGGATGATTGTTGTCGAGAGGCACTGCTGTGACCCGTGCTCAAATCGAGGCACGGTCGATGTGTATGTTACCATGGTAGGGTGTCGATACCTTCCGAGAGTGGCTTCTGGGTGTGGACGGGGGTGAGGATCACCGTGTCATGTTTCCAGGCTGCACTTTTCGCCCTGAAATCGGCGATGTGAGCTCCGTCCCACCGGCTGTGTCACTCGCCCCCTCCTGAGGGTAGTACATCGAGACTCGTCCGTGTAGGGCAGACATCGCGGTTTGCTTCCCGCTCCGCAGAAGCACCTCACCGCAGCAGCGTGCGTATGCTATCGCTCTGACGACGGTACGATGTGGCGTCGACAGGCGGGTACGCTGGGTGCTAGTGACATGCTCTGCGCGGCACCAAGAGTGGAGATGTTGTTGTCCGGCCGCCCGCCTCTAACGGGCTGGGTAGAGGCCGCGTTTGGTCGCGTAGGGGTGTGGGATGTTTGGTGACTTTGTACGGTAGCGGTGATAAGGCACAGATAGATGGGGTTCGGCGAACTAGGGGCGTATATAGGTATGGCGGTAGATGTGCAGCTCCGGCCACAACATCGCCTTCCACGTGTGGCTTCCTTCACCGCCCATGAGGAGTTTGCGCCTAGCACGGCTTAACCCGGGATACTCACGTGGCCGGCTTCCGGAACGTCGTGAGCAGGCGACCGCTATCGTTCTCTCCGGAAGCTGAGGGCGTTCGATTATGCGATGGGGAATGGCGTGCCTATAGCACACTCCAACCCCGGTAGGCCACAAGGCCATTCTACTCGGATACCAAAGGCTCGGTTGAGTCGTGATGCGATACCGCCCATGACCGCTGCGGGCCTACCTATTGGGTCCGAGGCGCCGGAGGTGTAAGTATGTGATTGCCCCCGAGACTATCCAGAACACACATCGGCTCCCCGAATCTAATTCCAACTGGGTTGCTTATCCTGGATATTGTCACCATCTCGCGCATCAAATTGGAACAGGACTTTGAGAGCTACGTCGAAGACGTCGCCAAAGGGAAGGTGATCGCCCCTGGCGGCAGCATGCTGGATATCACCGATCCGCCTGCATATTTGATTCTGCTGAATCCTTGCCTTCAATCACCGCGTCAACTGACCTGCGAGGTGCGCACTGATTATCGTTTCACGCCTTGTTTGCATGGTAGTGGTGCCATTTATGCTTTGCTACACCCTCCCGTACAAATATCAACTTGGCGTGCGAGTACTAAGTTTGACTTTGCACAGCCGTGGTAATGACGTTCGGTCGACGTACCCCCTTCCGTGCTGCCACTCTACCGCCCGAAGTGTGACCGAAATTTTGAACGATTTCGCCCTGCGAATATTGACACCTATTCGGCAGTCCTTCGATCGATGTACGCATGCGACGTTATTTCTCTCTGTATGATCTTTGAGCGATTTCAATTTCATGCCAGCCCTCGCACTTTGTTCGCATGGTTTTCCAAGATAGGTTCCCAAATGTTGGCAAGAGCAAGAAAAGGAGCGCTCAGAAAGCAGGGATGATATTACGAAATAAAATTCGACCATCGCGCTCGTCTGCAATCTCGGGGTGGGTCGACGTTCCGGGTCGAAGAAAGCGCCCAGTGCATGCGAGCAACCATACAGGGTGCTATTCCCTCACAACACCTCTCTCTCTCTCTCTCTCTCTCTCTCTCTCTCCGTAACCGTTCTCATGCGCTCGTTTTCTTGCCGACCTACCATCTGGGGCACCTTGTGCTTGTCCAAGTTTTGGAGGGCGTGGTGTCGTGCCGACAAGGCAGATGTCATCATGGCCAAGTTCAGGCCATGGGAAGCCCATGGCCAAGGCCAAGAAACCGGAGCGGCCGCGACGAGCCGGGCAGAGGACAAACCCGACGCAGGCGACAATACACCCAATGTTGACGGAGACGAAAGCTCGGCGAAGGGTGTTTCGCGCGAGAACGTCACTATCGGCGTGGAGGATAAGTCTGCGGCCAAAAACGCGACGAAAGCCAAGACAAAGTCATCCCTCCTCGACCCGAAGGACGCTGTCAAAACTGTCCTTGAATGCCTCCGTGGTGCCATGCACTCAGCCGTCGAGAAATCCGGTTCGATGGATGTCAAGGCGCCCTCCCGAAAGCTCTTCGACAGCCCGACCCACCTTTAGAGGGTTTGCGAGGTAAGCGGTTGTGACATGCTCTTGTTCTTGGAGTGACTTCTTCGAAGTAATCTCTCTACCACTAACCCTAGCGAAATGGGCCCACTGCAGTCACTTTGTGCCTTACAAGTGATAGTGTTACTCAGGCTCGCCAAAATGGAGAAAGAGGGAAATCCGTAACCGGATGGAAGAGGAAAGAGGACGTCACAGGAAGAAGAGAGTAGAACTCGTGCCGTTAGGCAGTAGTCTAAAATGCATGGGAGAATCGCAAGAGTGCCCAACCGTGGAAGTATAGCGGGATTCTTTATCTGCAATGCGAGCGGGGTTCTCGAAATGGGAATGAGTGGTCATGGCCAAATGATAAAGGCAACCAGTATATGAGTTCCCCCCCCCCTCCCCTGGCAAGCAGTGTATTGCTCTCCATTGGAGGTGTTGACGCAGCTTTGACTCTTCTTGGAGCGCACGCAATTCATTTATTCATCGGCCTTGCCTCTCGAACGGAAGAGCGCCGACTCGAGACTACATGTCAATGAAGTTTTTACTGTGGGTCACACCATCAATGTCATACAGTACACCTACAGCGGTCCTTCTCGCAAGCATACAGTACTCCCGAACAAGCGCTTCTTCTGCACGGCTGCGCCGAAGGAGCAGAACAGACACATGTTACAGAAACTTGAACTCTCACCCACTAGATGGCTTTCATTGATACAACAGAGACCACCGGGACGACTGTCTTTTGGGAACCACTGCGCGACACGCTCACAATTGGTGCGAATTATACGTGCATGGTTCTCATTGCTATGTATAAACAACACCGGGAAAAAGGCGAATTATCTACAGTGACGAATGAATGAGCAGGATGAACCACAAAGTTGACTAGATATTTTACGTAAAGTTTGGTAGTCTGCAGTGCAACAGATGTGCCGCCAATAAAGCCCCATGAATGACCTGTGGAGAAATTTCGCTGAAACCTGCCGCCCTGCTCCCCCTTGTTGGTATCACTTGTCGTGTCACAACAATAGGACCGCAACCTCGAGAATAACACCCTCGCAAATGCGCGTTTCACGACTGCCCCGCTGCTGTTCTTCGCGGATAATCCGCAATGCATTTCATGGGAATACATGAAGTGCAATGAGCCGATCAAGAATGTGCGATTCTGCTGTGAAACGCACAACTACATCATGTGAGTTGATTTCTGCGGCGTTCTACATTTAGACTCTAGTCTACAACACAGTCTGAAGAGGGTGTTGTGATAGCGGGAGGATTGGTTGCCAGTACCCTCGAGGAGGAAAATTCATCGAGTCTTCTGAAGCTGGCCTTGTTTTCACACTAAGGAAAGAGGAATCATGGTACGAACTCCTGAACTTGTTTTTGTCAATATGCCTTTCGTCAACAAATTTCGAAACAACAGGTGCTCAAAATGCGTCATTATCAAAGACGGGGAAGTAGACCGCATGGTCTGCCCGTCGAAGGGCGACTGCAAGATGGGAGTGTTCCCCCGGAAGGTGCCAGTGCTTGAATACCCTCTAGCTACTGCTGCCGCCACCCACGACTCCGGGAATAGGCGACGAAGTACACGCTCAACGTGTGCGTGACTTATTTGTTTTCTCGTCAGCGGGTTAGTTGATCGGCAGTCCCGCGCTTAGTTTTGGTCTCGTTTTTGGTCAGAACGGAAACAGCGCCCAGACGCGCTTCCGCCAGGGTGTTGTGGGATGCCTCCTGTGTCTTCTACGAGCACGTGCGTTGTACCGCACAAACTTTCACGCACCAAGGAAGTTTGGTGTGCAGCTCGATCTGTTCAAGCGGGCATAGTGTTCCTCTCCTTGGTGACGAATATGGGAACGCCCATAACGTGACGTGGGCGTCAGAATTAGAAAAGTGTGTAGTAAACACGGGTTCACTTCTGGTTGTCCAACCTATTATGGCAACGATCGGTTTCCGACGTCCTGGTTTAGGCAAAACGCAATAGTAAGCTCGGTTGTGACCAATCTTCGAGCCGCGTTGAAGAATCTGCTCCTCTCTTCTTCATTCTGGTTTTCATACCCCCGGAGGAGGCGGAGAAAAGCGGAATCCGAAGCGTATTTGGGCGAGCGTTGTGCTCTCGTCCTTACAGTTAACGCCCTGCAAACACAGGAATTATGGTTCCTATGTTCCACCCCAGAAACTGACGTGAGTGTGTCCTTCCTCCGAGCAAAGAAGGCAAACGAACACGGCGGCCGACGAAAAGAACACACTTTCCGGACGCCGTGTCGTGTTTAATCAATGTTTCACAAGCCGCAGTTTCGTCATTCTTCATTTGGTAACCTAGATGTTCAAATGTACCCCTACTCGGTAGGTATGCCAGACTACCCCCCTACACTTTTTTATTATTCTGGCTTTCAGTCAACGAACCCCCCGCCCCTCGCCCCGTTGGCTCCACAGCAGCACCGCTTCCGCGCTTAGAACGCCACCCTCCGTGCCGCCCGCCTCCGACAGTCCTACCCTTGTGACGTTTTTGCCTATCTCCGAAGCAGCCGACACAGCAGCCAGCCCAGCTCGTCGCTTGATCGGTGACATGTAGTGCACCTCCATGTACTGGACGCGAGGGTTTCCAGGAATCGGAACAGCGTCCATCGGGAATGGCGCCGGCGGGCATCGTCGGGCGATCTCTTCCGCCGCAACGGCTATTGCGCCGCCGTGCATCGTCCCTGGCATATAGTTGCACATGCGTCTCGTCACGAGGCACTCCGCCTCGGCGCTACGAAAACCTCCCTCGTCGTCTCCCGCTTGCTCTTCAACTTGAGGGTCGCTAGATGTTGCCACGCCGAAGTACGCCTCGTCTCCACCTCCTCCAACACGTTCGAATTGTTCCAGCTTGAACATGTCCAGAAGATGCTCCCCCGTAGGAATTCCCTTTCGGTTTAGTTGCACACAAGCCCGCATAGACGGGAGAGGGGAAATGAGGCAGGCATAAGCCCTGTGGTGATATATCGCTCGGAAACGGAGAAACAGATTGACCCAGTTTGTTGCTGTGTAGCTGCGGCAGGCAGACGTGAGACGTGGCTATACTCTTCGAAATTTAGATGTATTCCTGAGGGTGACAATCACGCGACCCGGTTAGCCTTTGCGTACTGGTCTGGCCGGGACAAGGGGTTCTCGAGATAATAGCCCACACGCCAACACAAAAACAAAGGCGCGGCGAAACAACAACGATAAAGCAGCAGAAACTTTTTTCGATCGCGAACGAGACATGAAAAACACCAAACCATGCCAAAATCACTACAAAAATCAGCACTTCTCGGTGCCAACGGCGAGCACAGGACCCTGCCCAGAAGATGTCTTGCCGTCTGGTGAGCCGCAGAGTACAGGTTTCCGCTCAGAATCACGTCGAGCTACAACATTGCGCGCAGCCTCGACCTTTACCTTTGATCGTTCCGGATCTCTTAGCCACTGTGCGTGCTGCCGTTCAGACATCTTGCGAGCGTACGGGAAAACGAAAGGATTCGTAGAAAGGTCCCACGCGCGCCCCATCGGGAGGTGCTTCACGTGTCGGCCCCTCGCCGCCAGCTTTCCGTCTTCACGGTACATGCTAGCCTCCCCGTATCTGCGCCAGAACAAGTAGTCAACAGGTCGCCGAGTTGAGTGAATGAACAGGAGGGGGCAGCGTTTGATGGCATCCTGAGTGATTTTCTGCATCGATTCCGCGAGGCATTTGCAGCCGGGGCGGAAGGAGCGGGCGAGAAACCTTTTGCAGAAGGCACCATGCCATTAACCCTAAACACGCACTCGCCGGGGCAATAATACACTGCGTTCCTGGGCCACATGTTATTAATGCGAGCTTTAGGCCACCGTCGACCCTGGTGTGTAGACATGGGACGTGAAAGCGAAGCGCATGCTTTGTCAACATGGTTAAGGCTTACCGAGCGGGACGAGGGCGAGACGCATTGAACTTCACTGTTGACCACGGCTATGAAAAACTCTACCATTCAAATTACACATGACTCGACCCGACAAGCACAGATCAGTGCCTTACGCTAGACATCCTTCCTGTACAAAAACAAGCCGGCGAGGCACGTCGTTGGGGATACACGCGGTAAGGACTTACCCAAGGCGTGCACCCATTTTAAGCCCCCGTGACTTGAAGGTAACCCTGTAGGGAAGCACGACATCGGGACCACAGATGAAAGCATCAGACGAACAGGGAGAGGTAGAGGTAGGGAGGAGTTGTCATAGGAGGACGACGTAAAGGGTGCTCGAAGACGGAGCCAGCAGAATGTACATGGAACGATAAAAATTGTGAGGGTTCCATGACGTTACATGAAAATACTCGTGAAGCATTCTTCTCCTGGGTAGCACTAAGTTTTCAGCGAATGGCGCCATTGGAACCAACATAATCCCGTCGTAGTAAAGATGCGACGCCCGTGAGCGCGGCTCTCCGATGTTTCTCTATTCCACGCCCGGGAAAACCTCACGTTTCCAAAAGACGAACATATCCCTGAGCAAGAGGCGCCAGCACCAAGGGTTTGTGCCATCGTGGGAATTTTCTGAAAGAAACAAGTCGGAACAAACCAGAGAGGAGACGCACAACATCGAGTGCTGCTGTCTCACCTCTCGCCCGGCGCCACAGGGTGGAACATATGGCAGCTCAGAGATATGCTAACGCCTGGGCGGCACGTCCTATCCGCAATCATCATGGCGAGGGTGCTCACCTGGTATCGGTTTCGGGAAGGGGGTTGTCGACAAATGTTTGATATCTCACGAATACAGCCTCACCGAACGTGTGTCCCCGGATTGACAGCACAGGAATGAAAAAAAAACTCTTGTCTAGTTGGGGTTGGCGAGGTAGGTTGCCTCTCTGGGAACCATTTTCCCTCTCGCTGTTCCTTGGAATACTGGCGAAATTGAAGCACCCACCAAACATGAGAATGCTACCGGCATGGTTGCCCTCTGGTCACGCCATGTCATCGCCGGATGCAGCACACGTAGCGCTCTTTGGGGACGTACGTCCGGAATCAATCTCAATCTGGTCGACAATTATGTCGGAATACTTCTCTCCCCGCAAGTACCTCGTCGAATAGGGCAGTCGTAACGCCACACGGCAGAACGCACCCTCCGCCGCCCCCAAGAGTGCCCCCTGTGACGCAGATATTAGCTGGGATCGTGTAGACCGCTTCTAGCATGCTGCCTTGCTGACCAACCGAAGTCACGAGCATGCCATCGTAGACTCCGAGCGAGCGGGCAAACCCCACCTAGGAAAAAGTCCATGATTATATGTGGCGTGTCTGTGTCAGCGTAGCAAGTTGTGGAGCGGTACGCGTCACTTATGTGTATTTCGGGGCAACGCGGAGTATCGGAAGCTGTGGCCCGAGTGCCTTCAGGTCGAGTACAGCCAGGCCGCATACAGGACACGTCAACGGAAAGGCTTCGGCTCGCATCGCTAAGGAAGAACACGGTCATGGCGACGAAGAACAAAGACTGGAAAACTCGACATTGCAGTGTGGCCGCACACCAGACAACTAGAGTGTATGTACATCATTGGGTGAGCACTGAGTTATTGCAGTGCTTTTGCTCGCCTCGCGGACAACAAAATAGATCACTTGGTGGGTTTTGTCGCGATGTTCAATCCTAACGGCGTGGAATGATGTGCCGGCTGCCCACCGACACGCATTTACAGCAACACGTACGCTTCGGAGCCCTCAGTGGTTGACCGAACCTACCCGTACACGCTAGTGTAGGTTGGATGCTGCGACTTAACTGCTATGGGTAAGGGTACCACGTGCGTAGACCTACAGCATCATGTTAGGGTCTCTCTGTGTCATGAGCACTCTAAAAACTCCGCATATCTGTCGTCGCCAACACTCCGCCTACCGATAACCAACAAGATGGCATGCTAACTTGGAGCAGTAACATATACATAGAATAACTGCCCGATTACAAACATAGAAAGACCAGAAAACACAGGGAACCCAGGCAACGATGTGATAACATCAGATTTGGTACAGTAGATAGGTGTGTGCTACCGCCCAGTAAACTAACTTGACATGCCCTTTTTGCTTCGTTTTGCCGTCTGCAGTGATATCACATCCAATGCAGAGGAACTGAGCATTCTATAAGCGGATTGCAGGAGACGAAACACAGCAGTATCACAGCACACAGCACGGCGCGCAGCGAATGCAGTGTACAGCTGTACAGCAGTAGCACAACACGAAGGCGGCGGGCGGGGGACGACCGAGCGCCGAGCGGTTCAACTGCACGGCGGAAGTTGAACTGGGAATTACGCCGCGTTTTTTACCTGCCACACGTGCTCTGTGAAATATTCCAGCATCCCACGCCTCACGGGGCTGCGGAGGGCTTCAGAAACGCCTTTCGCGATCCTCATGGCCTCTCAGCTGTACGCTGGTGTACGCGACTGGGAGCGGGGGACAGAGAGCAAGCTCTATCCTGCCTAAAGAAGCAATGCGCGGACGATAGTCTACATCTCTTTGTCGGCATTTCCGCGGGGCCCCCGTCCTCCCGCCCCCGCTGGTGACAAGCAAGCACATAGCCAGCAACAGCAGTCACCTGTCACTGCTACTGCTCTCCTCTCGCGTGACACGCATACACTCACTTCCCTCCTCTCTGAGACGTACAGCGCTCTGTTCCTTGTGTCTAGAAATGCCGTGTGATCGATCCGCCGGCCTCCGGTTGGCATGCGCCGCATGGGGAGCAGGAGTGCTTCTAGCTGCTGCGGCTGTTGCTCCACGGGCTGTTGGTTTTCGAGCAACCGCCGTGCCGCCAACACGCTTGACCGCCTGCAGGAGCCACGGCGGCGGGGTTGGCCATGAAAAAGGTTTCCCGAAGCGACATCATGCTTTACGGGCGTCTGCAAGGGCTTGGCGTGGAAGAGATCGATGGGTATTAAGAAGGTAGGAATCAAACATGCACATGGTTCCTACAGCTACGGCGAACATGTAACTACACGTAGAAGCTGCATTCACCAAACACCTGCTGGGCTGCGGCATGGACGCCGCTGCTGTTCGTGTTAAGTACATTTCCGGAAGTATGGGACCCAACTTTCGGCGCGTAGTGTATATAGTTGTGCATCACACCCCGAAACCAACCGAGAGCCCATCGCACCTCGTCGATAATACTCTGTTGTAGTGTTGCAAACCACACTTGTACGAAAACTAATGCTGTTACAATGTGTACCGTAGTCAACTGCCAAGCAGCACACGGGGCAAAATGCGTTTCGTTTACCGTAGAAAGTGTGGGTAGCCAAGGGTCCTCCATGTGGAAATAGCGGAGCACCCCGACCCCCCCAGACCAAGATTGACACGCAGGATGGCAGCTTTGCGCGGCTCACGTGCACACAGCGATTTTGGCGGGCCTGAGTCGCAAGAGCGCCGCCCTGACGAAATCAGGCGTCAATTTCGGTCGAGTGAACCACGTTGGGCACAGGGGAGGAGTCGGCACAGCAGTCCCCCCCTACTGCTGTATTTATTTCTGCACCAGTCTAATCTACCCGACATGCTTGGAATGGATATGGATATAGACCATTCTGACTGCTGCATTCGTGTGATATTATCGCCACATCTGTAGTACATAAATACTCAGGATGCATTCGGCGAGCGACAGCCTGTTGAGTGTATCCGACGGAGCGCTCGGTGGTGCCGTATGCATACCAGGCTGCTGCCGACATGCTCAGATAGGTGTGTGTATTATCGTGTAGTGCTCAATGATTTTGATTGTCTTACTATCCACAGCCCAGTGTTTTCCGTCCCTTCTTTGAGACAGATCTGTATGCCAACAATATCTCGTGAAGACCTCAGGGACGCTACTATGTGGGGCACTGCCCTCTTCCTCGAGCAGTGGTCGTTCGGCGGCAGGCATGGCCTCCGAGATACGGGCGCACAGGCGCACACTAGCTTTGTGTGGGATCCCGTTCGCACTAGCTGAAAAAAGCGCCCGAAAAATGTCGAAACCCCGGGGATTTCGTCGAAGTATCCGCCCCCGGGGGCCTCTGACACACACGCACACACCGCGACCAAGATTGACACATAGTCTAGGGGTGTTCCGTTATTTCCACATGGAGGGCCCCTTGGGGGTAGCGCTCGTTCTTGTCTTCGTTTTAGCCTGCCCCAAGAAAATAAATACGGGAGCAGCTTACACATGATGCACGGAAACAACCCCCTCTTCGCTGGTATCCATTCATACCCGTACAACTTTTCGTTTGCTCGGTTCGGTCATGCTTGCTATCTGATCTGCAGCGGCCAGGCGGAAAGCCTTGGGAAGGAGGAGGAAGGAGCGGTGGGGAGCATGACTAGCGACGAGGCCAACAACTGGGGCATGGACGACAGCATTGACGTCAACGCGGTACGAGCAATATCCCCCCGAAAGGAGTTCCCGGCCTTTATGTCTTCGTCCTTCGCTTGTCCACTCCAAACATGAGACGACGACGAACGCCCGTGGTCTCAACAAGGGTGTTCCGTGAGCAATTTGTGCGTCAGCGTATGCATATGTCTAGCTCTCTGAGGCTTTTCTAGTTAAGGTATCAATAGTATTTTCCGTATTTGGAGGAAAGGTCAATAGTATGCTATCCGTGCGCGTCCTCATAACCCCCCTGCTCTGCGTGTAGAGGTTTGGCTTGCCAAACTGCGCACTGACTGTTGCAGCTTCGTACGGGTTGGTGTTGCAGCTTGAAGCAGTACCGTATGACTGCTGGTCTTCGCACACATCGGGATCACGACACAGAGATAAGTTAACAGAAGGAACGACGTTTTTGAGTCCGATGGTCGCTCACGTATCAAGATCATGGACACGGAGTACGGTAACCCCTGGGAAAGCCCCACTGCAGGCGTGACGTTGAGCCCTGCCACGATCCCGGGACACTTGCTGCGCTGCAACGGGTTTGGCCATGCTTGTAGGTCGCGTTTTCTTCATCACGGAATTCAGCCCTCGAACTTTGACACCATGGTGGTCCACACGTAGAAGTGGGGACGATAATCCCTCCGTACGTGGTATCCCAATCGAGGTGTCGGACATTTTGGAGTTTCCATTGGTATGCCTTGAAAGCACCCGGTAGCCCTGCTGTGGTGTCATTCAGTGTCATATCTGTTGGGTGGAGTGCGTTCAGTAGTAGAAGCATCTGCCTTCGGGTAACCGCACAGCAGTGCGAACACCCACAGTCTCAACAGTAGGTGCCCCGAAACCGTCCATCGTCCGCCGCCTTCGTGCTGTGGTGCTCTCTCAACTCTTGCGTGTTTCGCGGTGGTGAGGTTCGAATTATTGCTAGTGTCCGTCTTTAAACCTTGCCTTCGAGCGTATCTACAGACGGGCACAACCCCCGAGCCCCAAGGCTTCGTTTTTTCCTCGAAAGTCGTGAATGTCAACCCAAGCAAAAAAATGTTGCTTATCCTGAAGGAGGGGCTGCTGCTCCGTCTCTCCGCTCTCCTACTTGGTGTTTCCTGAGTGTCGTCAGCATCATCGCCATTTGTCCCTGTATCCTTCCATGATAGATACGCATGAAGCTGATGGAGAAGGCGGGGTACACCAAGCGAGAGGACTCCGACGCCGGCGAGGAGTGGATCACGGTAGACGAGGACGGCACGGATGAAACCATGGACAGAATGAAAGACGCGGTCGCAGAGTGAGTGATTTTTGTGGGGGCGGAGAAGAAGTTGGCGAAGGAAATAGTCTCAGTTCGCGTCGATACTAAATAGCTGCTCAGCGTTTTGAAGAAAAACATGGAATGGCATTTACATGGTTCGTGTGCAAATGCGTACGACGACCGAGCAAGAGTTTCTCACTGCTCATCACCCGTATTGGCCAGCGTTCATTTTACCCGTACCCCCCACCTGGCCCAGTTCACTTCGTGAGCTCGGCAACCAGGTTACAGTTTTTTTTTTGCCTTTGTTTTTTTTTTTGCGGTAACCATGAATGGTGGTCGAGTAGATCATGTTGTGCGGGGTTGAGAACCCTCACTCCGCGCAAAGGGGATAATCGCACGTTGTGTTAAATTGGTCAAGCACCCTCGAGGCAGTTACACAACGCTTCCAACTGTCTCTGAAAACACCAGAAAATAAATTAAGTCATACGCAGCTGTCATCTGTACCCAAGGAAGTACGCACAAGATGCCAAACACCCTTAGCAGGATGCAGCACACCCTTCATGCGACTCGCCGAATACCTCATGGCGCTTCGCGCTTGGTGATGTGAAAGCCTGGTCCGGTGAGAACCCGGCGTGCTCCGTCCCGGCTTTGTAGGGATGCGAGGTCAATGGTCTAACGACTACGGCATGCACAACTATGAGTACACCCCACCACCACCACCACCACCACCACCACCACCTGGCCCGGTGAGAACCCGGCGTGCTCCGTCCCGGCTTTGTAGGGATGCGAGGTCAATGGTTTAACGACTACGGCATGCACGACTATGAGTACACCCCCCCCCCCCACCTGGCACAATTGACGCTCTTCTGAACTGTATGCTGGCATGGAGCCAATCATTTGGCATTGTTTCTCCGCTCTCTAGTTGTGCTTGTTGTACTGGACCGTTATAACACCTATGTGTCGGCAAACACGAGAAAGTTTCATCATCATGGCCCCTCCCGCCCCCCCTTACCCCACCAGGTCTCTCCGCAACGAATTGCTGGGACAAGATTCGTTGAATGAAGCCGACGCGTCCGCTCTTGTGGAAGAGGTCCTTCAAGACACGGACCTCGCCAAGTTCTTCGACGAAGAGTTCGAAGTTAGTACATGGAGTTATCTTCATATATTCTCTGTCACTTGCGTCTCTGGGACATGCTTCTTTGAGTTTTTCGCTCCATATGCTACCGTTACCGAGTAGACAGAACAGATTGCCGTATATGTATAGGCCGATGCCTGCTGTTGGTCGACTACAAGGGCCCCAAGTTATGAAATATACACCCAAAGTGCCACAATTTATCACATCGCGCGTGCTGTTCACCAAATTTGTCTTCCCGTCTTCCTCCAAGTATGGTAATAGGATTTAGGAAAGCTCGGAGCGCCGGAGGAAATGTCGCCACAAGCTGTTCAAGCGTCTGCCGGCCTGTTGCCTAGAGATGAACTGGTTTGAGACAGAATGTTTGATGCATGTCGGTCCCTCCCCCACCTAGATAGACATTGCGGGCCGAACCAGCGGCTACTGCGTGGTCTGCCACATTCATGGTACTCATTTCAGAACTGACACCATTTTCTTCAAGTGGTGTGGCTGGCGGTTCACACCCATCCCTCATGTCTCTCCCCTGTCGTTCGTAGATTCTGTTTGTTCCCATCAACCACACGAAACAATATTTGATCAAGCGAACGAAAATTTGATTTTCCCAGAAAGGAACCTCCGCCTTGAGGGAGCTGGCGGAGGAGCTCAAGACGGACGAGGGAGCCGTTTCCTATGCTGACAGGATGGCTCAGGAGCTGGCCGAGCTGCTCCAGGTCGAAGAAGACAAGGCTGCCGCGGAGATCGAGAGGCGACAGGTTTGTGGCGTTGCGGCAGCACTTGTGGCTCTTTTGTCCGGTTTTGCGGGCGTGGTGTTGGGGTAGGGCGTGCACTATCGTGCGTGTTTTTATTATAATGAAAGGCGAAAAGAGAGACACTGGAGGGAATCGCACCGCGCAGGACGGACGACGCAACACGTTTTATTTCCGCCGCACGCTGGGAAGGTTTCGTCTGTCATCACCGTTATGTGTCCAACATCGAGATGAAGCGGAAGAATTCGTAAGCGCGTCTATTTCGACACGTTCCCATCAGAGGCTTTAGTGCTGTTTTGACGGCCTTGACTCCTGCACGCCTTCCATGACTGCATCGGCAACAGGCGCCGGTCAAGGCGAAGCTCGACAAGGCCACAGCCGAGCTGGAGGAAGCAGTGGCTGCCGCCGAGGAAGCGCGGCGAGAATTCGAGGGGGATTTCGTGCTGCAGCTCATGAGTTTTCGCCAGAAGGGGGTGTTGCGGCAAGCCGCGTTCGTCGGCGCGGTTTTGATCGCAAATCAGGCGGTGTATCAGGCGATTTTGGTGGCGGATGACAGGGGAGGAAACCCTGCGTTCGCCTTGGGGGGGCTGGCAGCGTCGGCTGCGCTGGTGTGGTACTACGGGTACAGACCACTCAAGCGTTAAATGGCCGTGCCGGTTTATGTTTACTTGTTGACCGTCGAATTCTTACAAGCGACTGCTGGTTTTGTGACGATAGCAATCTCTTCGCGCGGCCCATGCTGGCTGAGAGGCAGCACTGCATTCTAGGCCGCGTTCTGGTTATCAGGGTTGCATGCAAGAATCAGATCTCGCCAGAGGCGGCGAATGTCGTGTTCTTGGCGCTTAGACAAAAGCCCACGAGGGTTTCGACGCTATTTTCATAAATACTAGTAGGTCCATAGAGATGGTGGAACCTAGGTAGTGATACAGATGCGTGGAAAATCCGCGCAACCTTCTTAAGCAGCAGCAAAATACAAAGTCAATGATTTTTGGGGGTTGTGCGCTGACCACAATATGGGTTACCCACCGAAAGTTGCACTCAACGGGGAGTACGTGTATACAAAGAACTTCATATTTTCTCGTAGGTAGGTCATGGCCCTGTTTTTCAGTCATTTTTTGTAACCCGCACAACTCGAGGCGCTGTCTGTAAGCCCAACGCCGTAGGCAACTCGAGGCGCTGTCTGTAAGCCCAACGCCGTAGGATTTCCGAGCGAATGCCCGAACGCCATCGCCCCCATCATCGAGACAAAGCACATGGTCGAGATATTCTAGAAACGCTTGCTGGCGAGCCGGAACCTTGTGAACGACTTGAAGTTTGATCATCACGCAACGCATTCACCTCTATCATTCAAACAAGTTAGTCGTATCGCCGACCGGCGTGCACTTCGGTACTCATCGCAACGTCGTCTCAAACACTATGTACATATCCTCGTATCACCATGAGCACCCCCCCCCCCCCTCGATTTCTTCCCTCCTCGAAAATGGAATCGCGTGGTCAACTGTACTACGAATTGAGCCTTGAGCCATCGCAAATGAATGGGTACGCCTGTGGCCTACTCACCCACGCCCCTGTTGCATGAGGGCTATCAGAAGCACGGAGCCACAGATTTGTGTCTCTTCACGTACTCAATTTCCCTTGCCAACAAAACCTTGTGTTGGACCCTACTTTTCCCCTCACGCAACCTTCTGAATGTCAAACGGAGGCACCATGCCCTCTGTCTCCGATCTCTCTATCGTCACTTTGTCGCACGTCCTTCGAGGGCGCCCTTCTCATCGGGCTCCGGGCTATCGGATGCACGCAAACGTCTCAAATTCCGGGGATATGAACTCTAACAGAGACGGGTCGTGCTGCACGGACGCCAACCGCGGGCCAAAAACCTTCACCTGCACACATAGCGGGGAACAACACAGCACGCCATTGGTCAGATGGAGGCACACGCAATGGTCACCTTCATATTGAGAAGAGTTCGGGGGTTGTCAGAGCAGAGATGGAGCGAAGTACGTTCACTGATGGGCGCTGATCTGTGTCAGCACAGCACACTGGCGCAACGTTAAGTGAACTGCAACAATCCAAGTGTCAGAATATTTAAGAGCTCTGCCTCTTGTCAAACCGTGGTATCACCATAGATAAAGATGCACAATTTGAGAAAAAGAACGCTGGCAGCTGTACGCTGTGAATCCCTCTATGCAGAAAATGCGAAAGGGTATTGCATTTCTGCGCCTTTCACCGAGCAGGTTACGAAAGCCGTCAGGTTGCGGTTCTTCGATCAACCTTGGTTCCCTCAATCCAAGTCCGCCATCTAGACCCTTCCATACTCTCAGTAGATAAACACGCTCACCTGTCTGATGTGTGTATCTCTGCCGTTTTGGTGCATGGCTACCACGCAAATCTGCACGAAGTGCGCGCGCAGGACCGGGCCCTCCGCACCACCGGCAGCATCCGCCGCGATTGCCGCCGCCCCGCCGCCCCCTGGCGCAAACAGCGGTACTCTCACCCACCCAACGGGCTCGTGTAGTTCCTTGACCTGGGCGGGGTATGCGGCAATCGACGAACGGTGGGCGGGGCGGAGGGCGGGAGGGACAATAAAGGAGATATGGGGTACCAACGGCAATAGGCTTCCACACAATATAGAGAATGGATACAGAAGAAGGCACAAACTTCTGAGGACGGGCGCTGTTCCTTGCTAGCCTAGGGTACCCTTGCTGCACACGCGGGTATCAGACGTCTCGAAGCGTAGTCATTGCGGATGTAAAGACGTCTATCAAGCCAAGCCTGGAGAGGGCGTCCCTACAGTAGCACCGCGACAAACCGGTCAGAACGGCCGATGGGGGTACGTTGTCCACCTGCTGGTGACCAACCCGGCCTTGGACAACTTGATAACTGCAGCATGGCTACAATGCTTTGGGCTTCACTCACCGTCACTTCGACGAGATCGTGAAAGCTGCTGCCTGCCCGGATCGAGAGCTTTTTTGGCGTGTAACTCTGCATTCGGTAAGAGACACGGAGTGCACAAGCAGATGGGCCCGTCATGAGGTGATATTGTTCACCAAAGCAATACAGCGGTAGTCTGGACCTGATGAAACTGCTCACATCCTGCAAATGGGGGATGCCAATCGCAAGTGTTGTACAGCACCTGCCCATATTGTCACATCAGTGGAAGTACTTCTTAACTCTGATCAATACGGGATTAAAGTAGTGCTACTGTACCGTTGCCAGGATTCACTCCGCTCACACTCGGTTCATAAGAACAGCGTTGGCTCCCACAAGTAAGAGCAACAGCAGCCTATCGGACTGTGCTCTTCGTGTCTCACCTCGTCTGAACTAAAGTCAAGATGGAACGCTATCTCTACCACGGTCATCTTCTTGTGGAACTGGATGTTGATCAGGTGAGGCTGGCCACCATCTGCGGCGGCGAGAGAGAGAGAAAGAGCGCACGCCTGCTATAGTCACACAACTCCATGAAAGGTAAAGCACAGCAAATAGAACCTCAACAGGCGTAGCGTGTGTACACGCATATTTCCACTACTGCCCTGCCACTCCCGCTTCGGCTTCTACGCTTACGGGTTGGTGCCGGATTATATAACTCAACCGTAGCACTTGGCGCCAAATCAGCCGCGCGGACTATTTCCGAGAACAACCGTGAAGATGCACACGCCCTGGGTTCAACATCTCACTCAAAGTTTCTCTGCTATGAGAAGCCGAGAATCGCACACCTACCTGATTGCCAATAGGTATCAGTTGAGTCATCCCTGAGCTGGTCAACGCCGTTGCCGGGCTTGGCCGAGGAAAGAGACCACACGGCCTCCCTCCCGATCTCTCTTCGTGTCACGTAGTCCAGCTCGGATGCCTCGGTCTTTGCCTCCGGAGGTTGAGCAGGCTGCTGCGATACCTGGCTATCATCTGCCATTGCCAGCCGGTAGCATGCACCCTCGTTTTTCTCTCTGCGATTTCTTGAGCTCTCCGTGGAGCTACAGAAGCTAGGCTGTGGCCGTTGCGATCTGTGCTCACTGCTCACTTCTCAGTGCTGAGCTCGCAGATGCGGCGAGATTACGGAGTTCGAATGGTTTTGGCGGCGGCGGCACCATTTTTTTTTTCTCTCCCGGAGTTGCCTGGAGTCGGCTTCTTCTCTCGCCGACAGAAGAGGATCCAGCAGCAGCTCGGGGCCGTAGTGGGTGGAACGGCGAGGTACAGGGCAGGGCAGTGCCGCTGTGGCACAGGCCCCGCCTGAGCACCGCCACCCTTTGTCAGTTACATATCGAGACAATGTCACCTGCAGCCGAGACCGGGAGCCATATCTTCATGCCACTACCCCAGGCTGGATCAGGCAAGCCGCCGCAGGCATCAAATGATTCGATATCCAAAAAAGTGAATGTGTAGACAACAATTTGATTCGACAATATTCGTACAACTTTCTTTCGCGCTCGGTTCGGTAAGAGATAAAACGATTGCCGGCTATCCCCAATAGTTCTGCCCGCTTTCCCTGTGGTACATACACTGTAGTCTCCCCCGCTAGAAAGTCGGCTGATGCCTCTTTGCTGATGTAGTGTCAAGAGATCCGTGCGTTGTTTGCGCCAAAATGTTACGGCAGGGGGGAGGGAAGTCGCTAAACCTTCAACATATATTGAGGCAATCGGCCACAACGCCCTCTTTCTTTGTTTCGATTATGCCTTTCTCTCAATATCTCGACGCGTGCCTGTGTTCTCTTGTTTGTTCTGTCGGGTTCCACGTCGGGAAGGTCTCCGAATCGCTGCACAGCCGCAATGGGCGCCGGGTCATGCACCGGCAGTTGCAATGACTGCTGTTGGTATCCCCCCCGGTAGCGGGGCCGCACTTTCGGAGCGTGATCGCAGACTCGCGGCGCGCCACGAAGAGCGAAGGTACTGCGATCCCTAGTTTCAGGTCAAGACTACATTTGTATACAACATGTGTACTGTACAGCAGTACTGAAATGGATAACCCGCGGTTGGGTCTTGTTTGCATAACAGCCCACCACGACCTTCTGGAGGGCAACGCGATCAACATGTTCTACTACTGTAATGCATGTCTTCATCACTGATGATTTCACGAAGCATGCGCCAGAGGATTGGTATTTTATCTTGCTGCGTCTCCAGATTAGAGAGCCGAAACAATCGCAATTGCCTTGTTTAAAACATATTCTGCGCAAGAAGTGGCGGGTGATCGTGGGCTTCTTGTCCATGCGGCGGGCCCCTCGACGGACTCGAGTGTTTTCTGTCTCTCTCACTAAATATGTGAATGGTCAAAACAGGCGAAGAAGCTTGCATGGGCCTCAGGAAGGACCAGCGGACAAGGTATTCCAGGAACGCGAGCAGGAGAGGCAGGCTTTCGAGCGCGAAGCAGCAGCCAGCAATCGATCGGTGAACGCAGAGGTGAGCCAGCACTTGCGACGTTTTTCCCGGTTCTGAGATCCTAGCTCTTCAAACGAGCTTGACGTTTTCCATTGCGATAAAACGTGGCATTCGGGTAATACGCAATATCTCTCCCCAAAGAAAAAAAATGAGGCTAGCATCATCATTCGTGTCAAGCGAACAACTGACGGTTGCACATCTTCTCACAACAGCGAGCGGGATCAACGCGCAATGAGGGAGGGCATCCACGCTCACACGGACATGAAACCTCGTCCACCGTGCGAGCGGTCGTGCCTATTCCAGCCGCCGGTGGTGCAAGCTTAACCTCAGCGCTGGACCAGAAGGTGGCCGATAAAAGCTCCCGGGAAGCGGTGAGAACGGTAGGACGGTGATTGTGAGCGTATGTTTGTCGCCCCCAATTTCGGAAATAACAGTGTGTCGTGGCACGTCAAGGGCTAGGGATGTTGTGCAGTGAAGAATATTCTCCTTTCATTGCTGTCGTACTCTACGTAACAAACTGGTGTCTCGAATACGTGGCTTTATCCTGTGGAGGACGATTATATCGTCTTTGTGGTTGATGAACCAACAGCACCTGAAAAGTAGAGAATCAAGCAAACACGGAAAATTTCCTGTCATGCTCTTTCGCGTACAGAAATACGAAGAAAAACGTCAGCAATACCTCGCTGCCCAGAGGGGAAGTACCTCGGGCGAGCCCAGAGTACGCTTCCAGGGGAACCAGGCTCAAGAATCTTCTGTGATGTCAGGGCATTCGCCCGCCCTCGTTGCTCCCACCATCCGTGAAGTGCAACAAAGTGCGTCGGATCAACAACAAAACGTCGATCCGACGGAACTACCGAATGCTCCATCACCTGGAGCTAAAATCCAACGGAAACCAGGTATCGACGAGACTAGCGGGAGAGTCGAACAAGCGAGATTTCCTCCGCAGGAAGCGAAGCGTGCGCCATCATCTGGTCCACTGCGTCTACCTGAGCAAGGTAATCTTCCTCGTCGTCAGCCAAACCCTACCATGGCCGGCGTAGCACGTCCTGACTCAGACTACGCGAGGCATGTGCGGGAGCAGATGATGGCTGGTGTGGCGGCTGCCCAGCGTGGCAATGACGACGCGCGCCGCCCGGGCCCGGTTGCTGCTACTATTCCCGCAGACCGAGGACGAACTTTGCCGCATGCCCAGCCTGTAGAAACGGAAGACGGCACAACTACGGTGTCTTCGACGATTGATCGCAAGGCCGAGTATGCGAGCCAACTGCGGGAGCAGATGGCTTCTGACGAGGCTACAAGGAAGGCCATGGAAATCGAAAGGAAATGTAAAGTCTCCACCGTTTCCTCTGCTGCCGGCCCTGCCATTGGGGAACATGAAGAAGGTCTCCGGGGTGGTGAGGACGAATGGGTGAATGAATCGGTGAGACAAGCGAAGGCCGAATACGCCCAACAGCTGCGAGAGCAGATGGCTGCGAAGGAGAACGCACAGCGGGCCGCAAAAGGGGAGATGGAAAACTCTCGTTCTGCGAACGCTGGGCCGAGCTGGATCGAGGGCGCTACGGAAGGAAGGAAAGCGCGTCGAAGACGATCCAACACGGAGTACGCTGAGCAGCTCCGAGCTCAGATAGCAGCACAAAAAAGTATCAATCAAGCTCAACAGAGTCTTGTGGCTGCGAGAGTGCAGCCACCGAAGGACATGTTTGAGCAGGGTGGATATGAGAAATATTACCAGCAGCTGCACCAACGGTTGCTAGGGGGAGTCAGCTCGTTTGATTATCAAAGCGGAGAACCCGAGCGGCGTAGATCACAGATTGACGACCACCGCAGTCAGGGAAGGCCCAGGACAGAGGAGAAGATTTCTCTTTCGCGAGGGGAGGTTAGCAACCCTTTGGCGACAGCGAGGTGACACTATGCAGATTAGTTGTACTATCTAGTTGAGGAACACCTCTGCCCTTCTTCTGGTTGGCTTCGGTTTAATCTCCCGCCGAATGTTTTCTGCGTGTAAACCACCAATTTGAAGGATGGTGGGTTGTACATACAGTTGTCGGTTTTCGGTGGTTGAAATATGGCAACGAAAGTCCTCCCTTTCGACTTTTATCCACAGGCAGGAGCGGGTGAATCACCAGAGGGAGTACGCCGAGGCATTGCGACGGGACATGGCTGCGCCGAAGGTCGACTCGCTCGGAAGGTAGAGCTGCGACCAAACCCTGCCTCATCTGTGCTCCAATATGTTTACACATTGTTTGTCGACCGCGTTTTTTTATGTACCCCACGACAATCTGGTGTCATTACCTACACTTTCGATGTCCAGCCACACAGATTTCCACTTCATTGTTTCGCTCACGATGAGCACGCGCTCTTTCACACCTTGCCCACCACTGACCGTTCCAAGTGGTTTGACCTGGACGCCACGCCTGTCAAACATATGGGTCGACCATCACATGACGTCAAACGCGCTGGTATGTTGTTTTTTTTATCGATCGTGTTCACATGCCACCATATCCCGTGTTTGGTTCCCAATCCACTTGTTAAAGCGATGTTTTACGCGAACTCGTTGATTTGGCACTGCAAAACGATGAAAGGCCTATCGGGGATATCACCAGCCCCTCCAGAACACGGCTCAGGAACAGTAACAGCGGCACAAGAAACACCAACAACAACCCCGAATTCTTCGGGCAGAATTACGGAAATAGCGCCCCACGTGAAGCCGGGCACCTCCAGCCCGGCCCGCGACCCCAAGCGGGCGAGCACGTTCGGGATTGGAGCCAACAGCCCTTCGAAAGAGAATACCTGCGAGAACACGCAACTCCATACGGCGCTTGGCCGTCATCTCAGGCTCAAAGCCAAGGGCCGTACGAAGTGGGAGAGCACCGACACAGTCGACAACCTCCTGTCCCCGGAACCCACTACGAGGCCTACGGTAGCAACCCGAAGGGTTACCCCAGCCGTGGGGACTATGACGAGCTAGAATACCCTACGGGAAGACGGGGGAATGCGAAGTGGGTAGCTGATGGGATTTCCGCCTCCGGGCTTCCTCCTCCTCGGAGAGATTTCGTGGATGATGGAGAACGACGGGGGGAACGTTGGGGCACGAGCGGACCCTATCCAGAAAGAGGAGGCGGGTATCCCGGTAATCGTACAAGATTGCCGGAGTTCGGAGGCAAGAGCTGGGACATCACTAACCCTTCTGTGGGGGGCGGGCACGACAGAAATGTACATCCGGGTCCGATTAGGGACCATCGTGAACAGCAGGACCGTCGGTACTTTGGACCTAGAGGTCCTCCCGGCGGGGCTCCAGCAGCGGGGGGTGGGGTTGGGGTACGTTCCACGAAGGCCAGTACGATGCACAATCCTGTCGACCCGGAGGAACTCGCCAGGATACAAGCAAAGAAGGAGTCTTATCGGAGAGACCTGGAGGCTCAGGTGAGGAAGAGAGTATCTCTCGGGCCGAGAGAATGATGTCCAGGACAGGGTCAGTCATGAGTTGTGAATTGCATGTTTTCGTTGTACTTCACGATCTGCATATTCTAAAAAGCATATTACCTCGTCTCAATACATAGTTGGAGTCTTTAAATCCTTCCTGATTGACTGTTGAGATTCGTATTTCTGTCCCAAAGCTTTCTTGAGAGACTGCCCTCTACTGTTTGGCCCATCCCATTCGAACAACAACAAGCACGACTTCATATCGCTTGCATTGTTGTCAATCTCCCGCACGATAAGCACCAGTTGTGCCTTTTGCTTCACGATCTGCGTGTTTGGCTCAAATTATGAGCATGACCGATCCACGGTACAATCTCTTACCCCGGAAACCCCGGCAAATGTAATGTTGCCACAAGTGCTATTCAATTGTTTCGTACGCATCCCGCCCTAATTTCTGGGCACCGTGGCGTCAACATAGATGGCCGAGCACACAAAACTCCAAGACCAGCGAAAGCAGGGGGTGCCCGGATCTAAGGAGGCCGAGGTTTTCCACCTGCAGAAAGCTATGGAAGAGAGAAGCGAGCGAAACGTGAGAACGCAGAGAGGGAAAATTGTTTCGAGCGCACCGCTGCAGAACCAACTGCCGCCTAGAAACATCCACCATCCGATTGATCGATGTTTCTTTCCCCCCGCGATGTTCGCACATGCATATGCAATAGAGTACATCGGATTTTTGTCTAGACAAAGATATATACGGTGATCCTATTGCGTGGAGAATGCATTGGCTGACCACCAGTCACCTCAAATAGGTGATCGGACCGGCCCTTATTTCCTCGTGCTTCTTGGCAGTTCTCTACCGTACTCTTCGTGTGAACACCACGACCCAACCCTTCCATCCCCACTTGAACGTTTCTCGCCCCTGAAAACCCAAAGAAAATGGCGCCCGGTTACGAAATAGGCCCTCTCGGCGTACCCGTGATTAAAGACAACTACTCTACAACCGGCCGAGGGCAGAGATCTCCTGCAAAGATGCGTGCCGTCGCACCCGCTGCCACGGGTAACCAAGGGCTCTCTGCATCATCTGCGATAGATCCGTCGAGCGGGCCCGTTGGGGAATCGACCCCGCAAACAAGCAGCGAGCTTTTCGGTAGCGGACACGATGGGACATCGTCATCGCTACTGGCTCCATCCGGGGGTGGTGCAGATGTTAGTGATGCTGAGGGTGTTGGTGCTCCATCAAGGCGGGGTAGCGGGTTGAGGGAGCTTCTAGGCATAGAGACGAATGCCGAGAGGGACAGGGAGAAAAGCAGGGTGCAGGCTGAAGCTCTCAAGAAGCAAGTCGAAGACAACAAGGTGGGTTGATGCGCGTTTAGGTACACGTGAAACTTGCTCACTATTACTCTCGTTGAGGATTTGGTGCAATGTGATTTATCCGTTGAGGGATAGAATTGGGTGGTGCAATGTCCACTCCTCGTTGAGCTTGTAGCTGTATGGCAGGTGTACCATACTTTGTAAGGGTCCTTTGGGTGGTATGTTTCCCACCGACAGTACCGCATGACGCATAGTTGCATCACTCCATGGATATTCTGCCCGGCTGCATGCATCCCCTGTTGCGGTGGTAACAACAACAGTCAGGCGGTATTTACATGTCCTCGAGACCATGCTTGCTGTACTGAAAGGTCCGGCGGGACATCCAAAAGGCCCAACTGGAGTTGCATGAACGAAAGGAGGAACTCAGGCTTCAAAAGGAACGAGAGCAGCTTCATGAGAGGTGACACGTTCTCAATAACCTACTCGCATGCACACAAGATCCATCGGTTGCCGAAAGCAACTTTTGTACGAAACGGCATCTCGTCACGTGCGAGTTGGCATGGCAACAAAACAAACGTCAATTACCAAAGTTAACTTCGGTGGAGACATGTTTCCTGAAGCGGGAAGGCCTGGAGAAAACGTACTTCGTGCGGTAAACATTCCGCTTTGGGATACTTTCGATTTGTTTGGCTCTCCGAAAAAAACTAATGTGATTCAGATTTTGAAAAGAAAGGCCCCGTCTTTGTGTTTTTCTCGGTTTTCCCAGTCTGCACGACACCTTGGGTGTTGAGAAAGCATTGCACCCAATGCTGTATCGTGGTACGAACTTGCTTGTATACCTCATCAGGTATGAGCAGGAAGGCAAGCTTGCGAAAGCACTCGAGGCGGAAAAGCTGTTGAAGGAGGCGGAAGAGGCGAGACTAGCTCATGCGGCTCGCAAGGAAAAGGCAGCGGCGGAGTCCAGGCACGACCACCAAATAACGTCAAGACCATTGACGCAGCAACATGATTATGTTGTTCTTTAAGCGAAGTACTGTAGCATACGTCGACACGGATGTCCTATCACAGTCAGCTAGGGCGTTCATGCTAACATATGCTACAGGCACCGTTTTGTCACATTAGGCGATCTCGGTTCACCAACAGGTCGTTGTCTCTATGCGCTTTGGAATCCAAAGGAGCCTCAGGTTTGTGTCGCACCGCAAAACAGCGAGTAGCCCCAGAGGGTTCATTCGAAGACGCGTTTTCCTGTGTCGTATGTCCTTTCAATGTTTCCTTGTCGGTCTGCACCCAGCAAATTTCTAGCGTTAGGGCGGTACAACACAAGACCATGTGACAATGCTTGCAACCTTGTGGTTTCGTATCATTTCCGCCACAGGGAAGAGGAGAAGCGGGAGGATGCAAGGGTGGAGAGGGAGCAAAAGGAGCTCGAAAGAAAGTAAGTGATACAGTGAGAGTGGATTGGATGGTGGGATACCAAAATAAAGCCGTTTGAGTTCAGCCGCATCAACAACCTGGCAAGCGTGCGCGATTTACTATTCACGACACTCATGGCGGAAATATTGATTAACCCGTCCAGGTACGCCAGGGAGCGGGCTGCTGAAGAACCCCTCGTCCAGGCGTCCTCCAATCCGGCCAATTTGCCGGTGTCTGAGTTTCCTACGAAAAAGGGGGGAGGCACCCGTTCCCCGAGGCCGATCAAATCACCGCGCGAGCTCGAGGTCAACGAGAAGAGACACGAGGATTCTGTTATGATGCCGCATCTTCCCGGGCGGGAGCGTGGGGTAAGAAGTGATACCGGATCTTGAAAACGAGCTGCCTGCTCGCTTGCAACCGCCCTGGGAAATCCAACAAAACTTTGATGCCGCCGCATGGGGATGCAAGCGTATTTGTCTGCTTCTCCTCTGTAAGCATGTACTCATCTACCACGCGGCCAACTCCAGACACTGCACGGTCCCGTTGGACACCTCGAACGCTCAGGACACTCGTGGCCCTACATCCATGCTTTGCTTCGGGGATTCTCGTGTTCCGTTTCTCTTTGGCGTGCCGAAGGCGTCTTATCTCTTAGCGTACCAAAGCAGATGTGGCCTCACAGATGCCTCACCTACCAGCGTTGATCCATCACATACCGGAATTTCCCCGGTTTCGTTCTCGGGAGCTCCCATGCGTCCCCTTCGTCAACAGGATAGGGTATCCCCATTCCCATTAAACGGGGCCGCATCATGATGACTTGGCGTCATCATACTATCGCCTGGCATCGTCATGTCACCCACCACACTTGTTTATCTTGTTCGTAGAGTCCGTCAGGCCGTTTCACGCTTGTTGCTCCTGGTCTCCTCGAAACTCCCCCCGAACACCTCCAAGCGTTCCTCACTATCCACCTTCTTCCTTAGCACCAGCCTCTCCCTTCTTTCCACCCCTTCCTTCACGCCCATTTATCCCGAATGTGCCGGAGGAGGTGCGTGGTCAAGCCGTGGAGGTCGTAGTCCTGTACATGATCGACGACACCGCTGTGGGACCTAGCCGACTAATTTTCTGTGTCGCGGTGCAACCAATCAACGACACGCGCTTTTTATTTGCTCTCACAGACACCGTCCATTGAAGCGCAATCGGACAACGGCGAACAAATGGTGGAGCCCAGCAAAATTGAAACGAAGGGCCCCGTCCAAAGGTACGCTGCTGTGGCTGTGTATCACGAACGTTGTACTACCTCTGGTAGGCATTCTGTCTATTTTACCGGCCTCCAGTATGTGTGCTCAGCGATGGCGCAAGTTCCCCCTCGCGTATGCTCCTGGGCCGCATGTCGTAGATGCTCTTCTCAATTTCACCCCGTCCTCAACGAACGACAACGCACAGTGATGGCCCATCTCCTCACCAACCTCCTGCGTCTCCACGGGGCCTCGCTACCCCAAGGGAGGGGGTATCCATCGAGAAGCTTCGCACCGAGCTATGGAAACAGAAGCAGCTGACAGAGGTGTTGAGACACGAAGTCGGCCAGCAAGAGGCCGAGAAAAGGAAGGTGCGCTCCCCTACTTGTCAGAAGTCATTAAATTGAAACGCAACCCATCACACGGCCCTAGGCAATAGCAAAAGTGGGTATTTCTCCTGGCATTCTGTCACGTCCTGGCATCCTGCTGAACTTTTTACAGACCCCGTCACGTTCCACCAAACCACGTCCATGTCTCTCGGAATCCATAGCTTATTGATATCGCAAGGGTCGCGAAAGAGTCGGAGGCGGCAGCCCTAAGAGCGGCGTATGAACGTCGGGCATCCAAGCACCCACCAGCCAAGGAACTCGGAATCGCGGGAGGTGGGGCAGAAGGCAACGAGTTGTGGAGGGTACCGCCACCTCCCTCCACGGAGGGTGCTGAGGGTGAGGGGCGCACACCAAGCCCCAGTGCTCGGAGGCGGGCCGAGGTAGGTAAACATCCCGACCCTAGGTACTTGCAGCTTTAGGCGATCCACTTCGATTGCCATGCCTTCAGGTGATCCTCTTGCCGTCCAAGAAATAACTTGATGCAATTGTTGATAAATTGATTCCCTTCTACGACTGTTATGGGACCTGATTCCTCGAAGTGCCTTCCACTCGAGTATTCGAAGAAAGAAGGCGCTCGCTGCAACCTCACGCACCGGGCATTCGCGCAATAGCGATGACTACCTACGTGCCTTGCTTCATGACTCCCCGTTCTCAGAGCAACTTTGCAGCCAAGAATGCGTACGTGGCGAACCGAAAGTTTGATACGGATGAAACCGCGGAAGATCGTCTATTGCTGGCTGGGCTGCGAAGACTGAGTGATGGCAATCGGGCACCTGGGGGAGGTTGCGACACTGACAGGCTTCGAAAAGGTGCTTACGGTCGGGGCAGTTCGCTTTGCACAGAAACGCTGGCTGAGAATTCATAATTGCCAGTCACACGGAGCATTTGTCCCTCTGACGACTCCATACACTCACATGTTTGCGATTGGTATTGGTTGTAGAGATCATACCGCTCATACTGTCAACGCAGCCGCTGTAGGCGAATACCACATGGAAATCTCTCCTGAAAGCGGTCGGTAGCCCAACCAACCTCATGTGGTATCTATCACGCACCAATTCTACCAATACTCTCACCCATGCGCTCAACAACAAGTATATTTCTAAGTCCAACCTTGTCTCTCCTCATCTGACGTGTAACACGTGTAAATTGTTGGGGTGAACAAAACGTCGTAGATGATTTAGGTGGTGATTCCACGTTCCGAGAACAAGTGCCGGGTGCTCGGGCGTGGAGCAGCGGTGCAGTCTCAAACAGTCGTGACGGACGCGACAGCAAACGCCGACCGTTGGACTACGGCGCAGTCTCCCCAGGGGGTATTCGGGCCGAGAGTCGGTACGTATTTCCGGACGGCTCGGTGAGACGGAGGCTGGAGACACCCGCTGCAGAAGGCGGGGTGGGTGACGGAGGCGGTGGTGGTGGTGGCGTCCCAATGCCACTTGTTGGGACATCCAGGATAGCCTCAGCTGACCTGTCCTTCGCCCTCGGAATCGACTCTCTTCGAGGAGGTGGCAACGGTGCCGCTGGTGATGACGTCGAGAAAGCGTCCTGGCGACGGCGCGGTACCGGTAGGACGGGGAGTCGCGACAACGAGGGTGGGGAGCACCGAGGGCCAGGGGCGGCACCAGGTGCAGAGTGGGCCCCAGTCGGGCGACCTCCCCGCGCCTTCGTCCCGTTCCTCAACCTTCCAGTTTCGAACGGCAAGGCAAACGGCAACAACAGCAAAGAGGGGCGATGGGCCAGTCGTGACAGCGACGGCAGCGACTCGCCATATTTCCTTCCACCGGTGTACTCTGCCGCCGTGAACGGGCGAAGCAAGCGGCGAGGGCGCCCTTTGGCGGGGATCGGGGGCGTTCTTGTCTCGCCGGGGAGGGCGATGCTCACAGGGCCCGGTAGACCTGGAACGGGAGCGACCTCTCCGGAGCGGCCGGCGTACGGGGAGACGGGTAGCGGGCACCATCGCCGTCGGCAGTCGCGTCAACGTGCACGCCGCGAGGGCGCCGATCTTGGCAGTACCTCTATTGGTGACGAAGAGTTCTCTGACGATTGTGAAAGCGTGGGATCTGGATCAACGGACGTTGAGTTTTTGCGGCGACGTGCAGAGGCGAAACTCAAATCTCTTGATCGACGGGAAGCCGCGGAAAAAGCGAAAGGTAAGGATGTCCCTGGTACGTGGTGAGAGGATTGATAGGGTACCTTCGACGGTGGTGTGAGAGAACACTTTCATCATGGAAGCCCTATGTGCTTTCCGTTTCCTAACGCTCGCTCTCCTCGCCCGAAAAACAAACGTTTCACCTTCCGCCCCTCCTGTCCAAGCAGAGAAAGAACTGAACTTGCTCGTGGCGTCATCACCCGCCCGAGGAACGACTGACGTGACCACGCCCGAAGCGCCGGCAATGCATTCGCGGGCGGTAGGCGGGGTAAGGCTCGCCTTACCGACCCACAACACCGCGCGGCGGACAATTAGCGCGGCTAGCAGTAGCAGCAGCCGATCGTTGATGTATTCCCGTCGAAAGAAACGACCAGGAACCAACAAAAGCGAGAGCAGCATGTTGGGGGACTCCAGATGGGCAGAACAACTAAAATAGTTATGGCGGACGGTAGATTATGTCTGCGCGAGGAAGGTGCACAGTTTTGTTTTTTTCGATGACCAATGACCTGCACTTTGCCGTGCAACGGTACCGATCGTCAGTGGGCACCGGTTATGCGTACGAAATTTCCTACTCCGGACGGAGTACATATAGTTACGCTGCTGGCACTGACACTCCGAAGGCATTGAACAGAGACGAATCGGGTTCAGTTTGCCCTCCGTTTAATACGCGCGGGGGTCCAAAGTATGTGTAGGTCCTGTTACCATCCCCCGCTCCGTTGCCTCCAGATAGGAGAAAGTCTGATGGAATGAAACCGAGTAGAGAGAGCCACATGGAAACAGCTTTTTCTTTTCATGTGCATGTATCCCTCTCGCAACAACTGTGATTGCCAACGTTTCGCAAGGATCCGGTCCTTGCTTGATGGTGAATAGTCACTCTTCCCACCTTCCTGTTCCCTCAACAGCAGCACGGGTAAGCACGAAAAAAACAACGAGTATGAAACACAGAAAGAAACATCTCAACCACAGTCAAACGACACATCGGGAGGACAATGTGAGCGATGTCCTCAGAAACATAGGCACATCTACGGCACGTCTTACTGCTGGGCCTACGGTTCGCAGCATCATCTACCGAAATGTGCAAGAACCGTCCGTCGCATCGCAGGTCGCACAGGATGCCACGCACCCCTGGAACTATATTTAAAAACTCAATGCAGTGAAGGTGCTGACAATGGCGGCATTAGAACTGTCTCGGGGCCGACAACGGCAGCGAGCGTTAGAACCGTCTCGTCGGGGGGGTTGAGCCGAGTATCATTTGATTTTGACATCCTGTGGGGCACTGGATCTTTGGAATCCAGTCTTACGGGGGTGTGGTATCTTACGTGACCTTCGCACGGTATTGGTAAGCAACAGATTCGCAGCGCATGTATTGACAAACATTGACTGGTTACGGAGAAAAGGCTCGTAACAGCATGCTTCGATACGTCGTGTGAAAGCTACAACGTTGTAGATTCGCAGGGATCTTCACGGTCTACAGTATGTTGTACTGCTGTAGTCTGCCCATTGACGGACGGTTCCCAGCAACAGCGGACATTGGATGCATACGCATTGTCAATCAAGTGCGTAGGCATCCTATTCAATAGGACCCTATCGACTCGGTCGATTTAGCCTGATGTCCTTGACTACACTCTACATTTCGGACCTCTTCTATGAGAACGAGCTGTTTTGAGCGTCCGTCCATAGACTATTATTTTTCAACATGAAACCGTCATACTTTCGACGAACCGACACAATCGGCCACCAACTCACCAATAACCCCTCCACTGGATCTTGCCCACACGACCCTGTTGTCCAAGCCACGACTGATATCGCCGACCTAAGCACATGCCACGGATTTCCGAAAGAAGATGCTTCACTGAGCAAAGAGTATGACGCTGGCGAAGTTCTTCTTGCTCTTGGTGTCCTCGTGGATCTTCACCACCGTGCAAGGCAACGCCGGGTGCTCACTCTTCAACTGGTGCAACGGGCATGGCACGTGCAACACAGGCACCAGAACGTAAGTGCGTGCAGCAGGCGTGTGGTGTGTCACGAGCTGTTTTTCCAATAGGTATGTATGGGGGCCATGCAATGGTGGTGTCCCGCGTGCGCAGTCTACTGTGGATCTGGAACAACTTGTCGCCAACCTGTCGTCGTATTGAAAATCACTGCTGTGTGGATCCGTAGCATACACAAATGAAGACTATGGCTGATGTACAAGTCTACATGCGCACTTACAGTACGTAGTACCACAGTAATCTAGGTGGGTGCATTTAGCTGCGTTACCCTATAAAGCGAGGTCTGTTTGCCGACGACTTTGGTCTGGATTTTGCATAATCCTTTCTCACCTGTCGGCGACAAATGACATAGACTACATCCGCTTCCAAGCACCTGGTCTGGACGGATATTCCGACTACACCCAGCCGCTAAGTAGACTAGTGCAGTAGCTGCAGTAGGTTGATCCCGCTTGCAGGGCAAGAGTATTCTTATGTGCAACTTCGATGGCTGTTATCCCAGGTGCACGTGTTATGAGGGCTGGGGGGCAGACACCGACCTTACCCTGTACCGTGCTGCGGATTGTTCTGCGCGAGTATGCCCTGCCGGCAAGGCGTGGGGAGACGTACCAACAGGATCCTTGAGCGCACACCAGGAGCAGGAATGTTCCGGCAGGTCGGCATTTGTAGCCAATAACGGCGCTTTCATGTACGCACCAGATCAACGACGCAGCAAGTTCCGCCCGATTTATCAATACCGCAGACATTGCATTGCGGGGCGATCCACCGGCATTCATTCATTCATGGAACGCCTCTTTGGTCGCGTCCAACACATCTTGTTGAACTTGGGGTGAATGGATGCCCCTGGAAGAGGGAGTGGGGAGAGAGACGGGTTCGTAACAGTTAACACCGCGCCTTGCAGTCAATGTGACTGGTGAGATGATGTGCGTTCCGTGTGTGTGCCTCTCCCCAACGTGTGGCCTAGAAACCGAGTAAGAATGAAGCAGTTCGAAAGAAACAACAAAAATACGTTGTAGCCCCGGGGGTGTATGATTCACTCCACGTTCACAGGTGCACCCACCGAATCACGTTTCAATGTAACCCTCTCGTTTGGTGACCACCCCGTACCCCACGCAGGGGACTTTGTGATCGAGACAGTGGAGAATGCGAATGTTTTGACGGATTTACTGGAGCAGCCTGCGAGCGATCTGGCTGCCCGGACGATTGTTCAGACCACGGCCGTTGCGTCAATATGAAAGCCTTAGCGGTGACTTCAGATGCACTCCCTCTCTCCAACGTGACTACATATTCAGGCAAGGCGATACTAAGATGAAACGTGGCGTAGTGAAAGGTGGCCACGTGGGTGGGTGATGGTGAGCAGGGCGCGGCCGCACATCAGAGAAAAACCAATTCCTCAGTTGATTGGAAGTGTTTTGGGCAGGCACCAATGAAAGGTCGAGAGTAAGTCGGGGTAACCGTACAGAGCTTCGACAGTGGAAGATGCGAGGTTTGCGTACTCCGCGGTTGTCGAGATTTTGGTCGACGCTCACCCTCCCGTTACAAGCTCTGTTCGTATTCGAAGGGCTCACGTAAGCCTGTCGCCACTCTTGTTTCAATCTTTTCATCCCCCAAAACGTGCAGGAGAAGACGACACAGTCACATGGGATGAAGAAATGATCTTCGGGTGCGTGTGCGATTCAAAGTGGGAGGTCGGGCTTGGTGCGGGGCAAACGCAAGAGCCTGAGTGGTTTGGGCCCGACTGTTCTTTGAGGCATTGCCCTAGCGGTGACGATCCGTCCACTGATGTGGACGAGACGGACTGTTTCAACGTTACGTCTTCGTCGGTCTACCTAGGCACAGCGGTGAGCCTAGACCCACACATGATATATCTTGATCGATCAGCTTCGGTGACGGGAGGGGGGGGAGATGATGGCTCGGTTAGTGCTGCAGATGATATGGTCGTCATTTCTCGTAATTGGGGATCTGGGCGTCAGGGCACGCGTGGTGCTCGGCGGTTGTTGTAGTGGGGTAGTTGGTTCACTGAATGACTGCCCATACATGGGAACACAACAACTTCGGTGCTCCACACATGTGCCAAAGCCTTCGATTACCCAACGATAGACTCATGCGATCGTGGGTGACTCGAAAGCGACTATTGAAACATCTCTTGCATGTGTTGCTCGTGGAACAACAGGGCCGTGCGGGCAACCTCTGCCACGTGGACTGCTCAAATCGAGGGACGTGCGACTACGCAACAGGCCTATGTGAATGTTTCACAGGATACTACGGTTTCAACTGCGGGCAGCAATCCGTGCTCGCCAAGTAGTATTAGCTTATGCCTGGTAGAAAAACCTTGTTCTTTGTATCAGCATCGCTAATAGAAGGTGTTGATACCCGGGGTTCACATGGCAACGGGACACAGTGAACTATACAGTGACGCGCTCAGAGGTATTGTTGATATTTTGTGCCTTCAATGTAAAAATGTCTTGACCTCTATCTAGACTCCTACACCTCCTTTTTTGCTCTTCGAACGAGGCGATGAAACGAATTTCCGTGGTCCCGAGCCAACCCCAAAAAAGAAACTCAAACACTTCGACAAAAACACACCAAAACACCCAGTGCCACCACTTGCAACGACAAACTTCCCAACAGGTTCAGAAAAACAAAAATAAATCAAACTACTGCTGTGGGACAAAGAACAGCAACAAATAAAATAGAGGCCGTTGCTCCACGCGGTGGGTGCGTCAGCAAAACGAGCCATTTACCAACACAACTATCCTGGCATTCCTCTCATCCCTGCGGAGCCCGAAATAAGATCATTGTCGGGATATATACTGCTGACCAGGCTAACCTCATGCCACACCCTGGAGGTGGGAAGGGTTTTCCCTGCAAGTTAAATACAACACACAGGGCTAACTTGCGTTCTCGAGAGAAGAAAGTGCCGTGTTCTTACACCAGCTGGACTATAATAGTACGGAAGATGGCGTACGAGATGGAAGAAGTCACAGCTACTTTTAACATGAACACCACATCAACAGCGACGACGACGACAACCACAACAGTTTGACAGCGACAGCGATAGCGACAGCGACAATGAAAAACGATTACATCGAAACAACACCCCGCCCTTCATATTGATCACGACGAGAACAGCCAAGCAAAAACATGTAAACATTGCTTTTTTCGCCCCGCACCAAGGACCGACGTACCGCTCCTTGTTGCCCGACATCACCTCTAGTGCATTGTCATATTTTCATTCCTCTTCAATCCCCCGGGACTATCTCCTCCATAACGTACCACAACTCACACACGCGAAAACCACGCAGCAAGCAAAAAAAGCACAAGCCCACATTACTTCCTTCTTGCTCACTTACACGATCGTTCTACTTGTAAACAAACACGCTGACGGCAAACTGATGTGAAAAACCCTTGTATCAACATGCACTAGGTTGTGCAGTTTTGTGTAGATGCTTGCGACCATCCCCAACCAAGACAAACCCTCGCACGGTTCTTCCCCCCAAGTGTAGACTCACGAGCAGCCGCGGTCAGGAACACTACAAAACATGTACGGTGCTCCGTTGAGTACGGGGTTGGGTGAAACCTTGCGCACCCTGACAGGTAGGCACCCCCCCCACACGATGCTCGTCAACTCCACCTCCACCTCCGTGCTATTGAATACATTGAGCTTGTTCCCGCTACCGGTGACGTATGTGTTAGCCCCTCTCTAGCTCGGCTTGTGAATGCCGCTCTGCTCGAGGTCTGGCTGCTTGCTACCTATTGCTAGCGGCACCCGTCTCACCGCACCCGACGTTGCACCCGCACCAATAGGCCGTCCAGCAGAGTATATCACCCGCTGGTGACCACGGGAGGCACGACCTCGGCGCGCCTTTTCCCGTTGAAGTTCTTGCTTTCCTCCTCGAGCCTGCAGCGATCCGGCCGGGAGGCCAAAAATAAAGGGGGAAACACATTGGCGAAAAGGGCTACGAGCAACCCGCGATCGTTGTAATTTCCACCCCATCTACTTTTTTCAATACAACCCATTGCGACCGCTATACACAGCAGCAGGCTTTCCAGAACCAGCCCCCAGGCTGTCAGGTATGGTCACTAGCGCTGAGGGTGAACGAAAGATAACATCCACGAGTCCAAAGCATAGGGTCGCACGACAGGCAGTAGTTTGATTTATTCACTCCCGAAATCACTGCCCGCCACACGTTACAAAGCGAAGCGCTCCGGCCCCTACATCCGCACCTGCGATGCAGCTTGGCCCAAGCCCCGCTCGCGCCCTTGGCCCTCGCCGCGGCCATCCCGCCGCCCGCACGACCGCCAGCAAGGTGTGTGGGCGCCCCCCCCCCCCGCCGCCACGAACCACTTTCGCGAGGTGGCGTCTCCGGCGGTGCAGGCGGGGGGGACGACGACCCTGCAACATGTTTGCGAGTCAACCCGGCTTTCGCCAACCAGATGTTTCCCTTGGCCGCTGCCGGACGTTGCCCGGCGCTGATACTGCCGCTGCCGCTGCCGCTGCCGCTGCCACGGGTTGGTCGTGCCGGGAGGGGCCGCTTGGGGTTAGCACCAACCAAGCTATTGCGGGCGGGGAGCGGGGGCGGTGTGGCGATTGAGGCTGGCAGCGGCGGTGGCGGTGTCGATGGCATCGGTGGCTCGTCAAGGCTCCCGCCCAAGCAACTACCTCCGTGGTTGGTGTTGGTCTATGCGGGAGACACGGATATGCCAGGACAAGAGACAGCGAGAGACGGGAAAAGGTGGGAGTCGGTGGGAGGTTACTACGCACGTTTGTCTCTGTAGGCAACACGGGAAATGTTGCAGCTGATATTGCCCTCACTCCACCTGCGACTTGTCTATAAACAAATGTCGGGATCTTCAACACGATGCACACGTCGTGCTCAGCCAGCGAGCGCAGCTGCACTCAGAACAAAAAGCGAGGCCCGTTTTCCAGACCCCCACGGCAGACTCGAAAACCCCGCCCCGCCCTCATATCGCCCGTGGCAATCACCTCACCTCGCGCCCGCCCTCCGGACAAGACATCAGCAACGCCTTGGACATGATCCGGACCTGCCCGTTGCGGATAAGGCCTAGGCTTGGCCTCCCCTTCAGCCGGCAAGGTGACGGTCCGGCCTTCCACGTAAACTCCTCCTGCTCGTCCGAGCCGCCGGCGCGGGGCGGCGGCGAGCGTGTCCGGCCTCCGGTAGACCAAGGAGGAGACGAGGACCGCCCGCTGCTGTCTTGTTCGTTGATCGCGGTGGAGGCGGGGTGGTGATCCGTGGTTTTCTGGGGGAGCGATGGGGAGCGGTGGGAGCACGGCAGGGGAGGGAGGACGGGTTTGCTGAGAGGTTCACGTTCCCATCGGAAGGAAATCAGACGACGCAGCATTCTAAAGAGAGGACTACAGCGCTCGTTCTCGATTCGTTGCAGAATAAGTGTTACAGCAGTACGACGAAATAATTAAAATGTGCCGAAGAGAGAAAAAAAAGCGAAGTAGGGAGGCACGGCAGCGAACGGCTGGGTAGCCTCGTTGTCGTCGACGGGTGACGACCGAGATCCTCTTGAAAATTTCTGCACCGTGAGGATTTCTTTGACGGTCATCTCCGTCGCGCACTTCGGGCAGATGAGGTGAACTGGGTAGAAAACAGATGGATGAATGGCTTCTATTTGGTTACATGTTATGGTTGTCTCGGGAAACGTAACCGATGCCGGCCGGCGACGAGCCGCACCTTGCTGAATAGGCAACATCCGACACCTTAAATCCTTGCGCGGAAGAAAGGGTAAAACGACACGGCAGTTAGTCTGTGCCGACGAACCCAGAAGTGTGGAGGCCAGCCTGCCTCCAAAACTGTGGAAGCGCCTACTGACTGTACATGCATCCACTTACCTTGGCCCAGGCGGTGACCAGCCCCCTGCCGTGAAGGGCACCGACACTCGACCGATTTCCAGGTTTCTCCTTGCCGACCTTGGAACCGGAAGCCCCTTCGAACACGTTCAGCTTGTCCCTGGAGAATATCATGTGAAACAGACGATAGCGGCGGATTGCAGAGAAGAGGTGCGAGGTACGATTGTGCATGAAAAAAAAACACTTCGCCGGGATTCGAACCCCCAACCTATTTAGCCGTTAGACGGCTTAGATGGGGAGGATATCGACTATCATTAGACCATGATGATGTTCTTAAAAAACACCTGGATGTATGCCGCACACACACGCGTTTTCATTAGGCGTTCAGACTCTGCTTGATTCTGATTCCACGGATCTTCCAAGCCCCACCTGACGTTGCCGGTTTGAAGCTGGGTGAAGCTAACGCTGTCCCTTCGAGGCGCGCCGTGGCCCTCGCCGGCAGCATCCGACCTCCACGACTCGTCCGCCTTGACCTTCGCCAAGCGGCGGCGCTCCGCCTCCACGGCCCCGGCCTCCCCCGCTGCCCGCCTTGCCACCTCCGTCCGCCACGAACCGTCGTCGTTAAGGCCAGCCCACTCGTGGCCGGCGCCGGCTCCCGCGTCCTCTTCGCCTCCTCGCTCTCCCTCCGCTACGGCGGCGGCCGTCTCGGGGTTGCCTGCGTGGCTCGTGGCGGCGCACTGCGGTGCAGCCTCTGCCCGCTTTGACACAAGGGTGGCCTCAAGGGCGCGTCCAATCCAATCCCCTGGCCCCGCGGGCGCGGTGTCGGCCTCCTCTTCCGGGTGGGACAGCCACTCCTCCTCGCTCTCGCGACCACCGCCGCCACCACCGCCACCTTCATCGCCAAGGCCGGCGGCGCGCTCCTGCTTTCCATCGGCCGTTTCGAGGGGCTTGAAGGCCGCGACTGCGGCAGAGACAAGAAGATGATCCTCGAGCACGGAATCCGAAGCAGCCTTCGGGAACCTGTCGACGTTCTCCTTGACCAGCACGTCTTCGGTTCCCTTGGTGGGAATAGGCGGCGGCGCGGAGTGGTCGTTGGTAGCGCCTCCCTGCGGAGAAAGAGAACCCGGGAGGCTGGCGGCGGAACCGGATACGGCCGGCGGAGGGGAACATCGTGGGCTTTCTTCGCCGTCGACTATGAATCCGACACCGAGGTCGGTGGAGACATCATCGGCAGTGTCGCCGGTTGTAGCACCGAAAGCACGGACGCAGCTCACGCTGTCGGAGAGGTTGCCGCTACCGCTCTTCCTGGATGACTTATCGTCCTCCGAACGAACGCTCCTCACGCTGTCGAAGAGCCGAGCTCCGGTCTGCACGTCAGACAGCGACCGTATCGAAGAAAAGCGTTGGAGTGGCGGCGAGTCTAGCGACAGCGGGGACCGGAAGAAGTCGCTGAGGTGTCGAGACAGAGCGGTGCCGTTTTCGACTCCCCCGCCGCTCCCTCCGCCGCCAGTCGATGTTCCGAACGCCTCGATGCTTGTTACCGACAGTTCGGAACTTGCTCCTCCGCTTTCGAGAGTGCCGACCCCTTCGCAGAACTCCACTTCCGATAGACGCAAGAAGGTATCTGTCTCCTCTTGCGAATCGCATTCCTCGGCTTCGTCGTCATCAACATCTTCGGCATTCTTGTTCACCTTCCCGTCTTGGTCGCCGTTCCCGCTGCCGTCGGAACCGCGACCATCTCCATCGTCGCCACTACCGCCACCGCCTCCCTCGCTGTTCTCTCGTCCGCTAGGATTTCCGCCGTCCCCATCTCGTCCAGAGCCTCCTTCGCCTCCATCCATGCTTCGGTGCCCATCACGCCCGCTATTAGCGGGACATTCGCGCTGGCTCTTGCCGTTGCCAGAAGCGCCCTCGCCTTGTCCATCTACACACCGGTGGTGCCCGGCATTCCTCGGAAGTGTGCCCGTTGGAGATCCTGCTGCGCAGCTGCCAGCCTGGCCGCAATCTCCGGAGAACGCGCGTCCGCCAGAAGCACAAGAAGCAGGTCGCGGAGGAGAGCGAAGGGCGTCGTAGCTTGACCAATCATCGCTGGGGCCGTCTGACGCGCTAGCGGCGCAGCCAAGCACCGGTGACAAAGCGCCGGATGACCCGTTCGGGAGGCAATTTGATGATACATCGACCGTGAGCCCGTCGACCCCCGACGCCAAGCCCAACTCCGAAATAGGTGAAAAGGAACCCCCGTTACACCCCGGTATCGGAACGCACGTCATCGACCCCCGGTTCCTCGGAGGAGTCGAAAACGCCTCCGAGTTGAAAGTAACGCCTCCGACGGCAGCAGTGGCACAACGACGGGGCGGCGGCGGCGGCGGATGCACCCGGCCGGCCATGCACTTCAGCGATGGCGGAGAATTCAGGGTCCCGGGAGGAGTGCGCTGGCCGGGGGGCGTGAGCCTCAAACCCGAAGACCCGCTGCTTGAAGATGCCCCGCGGCCGCTGGATGTTCGGCACCCGGTCGGCGCCGACCGGTTGCCTTCGGCGGGCCACGACGCGGCGTCAGATGCCGTTGTCGTGGGCGTCGTGAGGGGAGACAGATCGGCGCTGCTTCCCGGCTGAGATGTTGTCCGTCCCGGTGACAGGGGAGGCATGGGAGGGGGCTCAACTAGTGCCTGGTTCCAGCCTTCGGGGATGTGCGAGCGTACGACAGACAGCATACGTAAGAGACAGAGAGTGAGACAGCAGTGTTGGTGTCAACGACAACTGGACTTACACGTCGGCCGCTCCTTGAAGAAGAGGCATAGGCTCGGTCCGTAAAAGAGTTATTTACGCGGAGAAGTATCGTCAAGGTTCGACGAAAACCAGTGCGCCACCGACCCACGGTGCATGTACATTCTGTTCGGTGCTTCCTCCCACTTTCCGTGCCACCTACGGCGGCAACATAGTCTACAGGGCAACCACAAGAACCAGATGCGTGTTCAAGATGCCGTAACGGTACCGTTCTCACCTATGAAACAGTTGAGGAGTCCGACGGGCTCCGACCCTGCATCTACCTGTTCCACCGAAGCCCCTCCTTCCACTCGCGCTGCGTAGACACGAGCCACGCGAACAGCAAGGCTGCACGAACCGATGACGCCCGCCACAACAGCAACGAAACACTCATATGTTGGCCATCGGAGGGCATCTAGGGCTTTTGAGGGGGGGTAAATCTCACGGAGAAACTGCCAAGGGAAGGAAGGGTCTACATCATTACTGTCGCTGTCAGTGTAGTTTTGTCTGTTCTACCGAGCAGAGAGAAAGCACTTGCTTCGTTGCATGGAAATAAAGAATCAAGTACGAAAATGTTCTTCCGGATGTTTGCATGGTTCGAAACGGCATTATTGCTCTCACGCTAGGCTGTTGATGAGACGTACGCAAAAGCTATCCCTAAAATGGATACACCTCAAACGGTTGGAGTTTTTTTTATTAACTATGGGTGTGCCCCTGTTACATGCGCACCCTACGCATTACCATGAACTAGATCAAAGTCACCTTCGGCCATCTCTGTTGGACCCATTCCCGTGCCACACGTACACGCACGACCCGCCGGCGTCAACCACATGCGAGAGGGATGGCGATAACGTCATCTGGGATGGCATACCTCCGGTAGTCACCTGAACACAGTAAGGTTACGGGAAGAATGAACGGTGTGACGTGGGGTGGTGCGTGGCAACCAGACAGTCGCTATGCGTAGCCTGCAGTTCGGTGACTGTCGCGAAACGGCGTGCTAGGCAAGCTTAGGGTGGTGCCTCCAAGGGCAGGATTGGCATCAAGGGGGAAGACGAAAGGTTTAACGCGCCTCTACCATACGTCCAGTTGCAATAAGCGCACCCTCAAGACCCTAGCCAAGCCTCCCAAACAGTGCACCATTACCAATTTACCAAGAGGAGTGTACACAGACGCAGGTCGTAAACGCTCCTGCGGCAGGCAGCAGTATTAATGGCCTCACCCTCGAGGAGTCTAACTTTCATAAAAAAGAAGTGGACTACTGTACGTTCCAATGCAAAGCACCACCGTAAAAAGAAGTGGTCAGTGGCACGGCTCCGCACACGGCTCCGCACCTCCCACACGAAGCTCTGCCGCGCTTTCCTGCTCCCAGCGCACACGCCGAAGACGCGCACCGCGCGCGAGCGGCGGTCGGGGCGCAAGTCTTGCCACAGCATCCTCCGACTGTCGGACGGGGATCCTTCCGGAAGGACGCACTCCCAGAAGCCGTTGGGAACGGGTAGACCAACCTTGACGTCTGCGACGAACCTTTGGTCGACAAAAGAGGAAGGTCGACAGGAGGAAGGACCACGAAGGGGGGGGGGGGGGTTGGGAGGCACCGCGGAAAGCTTCATTTGTTTGCGGGTGGTCCGCACGCTGCTGTGGGCTCCACAAGACGCTCCGCGAGAAAGAGCACGAAAAGAGGTAGTAGCACGTCTTACCTCGATCGATCCTTACACAACAGACCGACAGAAAAACGGAACTAACTCGTCGACAAGTTGCTGCTACCTGCCGACAAGTTGCTGCTATCGTGGCAATGTTCGCCTGCCTCTACCCGCGTCTCTTGCAGAAACGTGGCAGGCCGAGGGGGGCAGGGAGATATCATGGAGACAAATCCCATAATCTTACGAACGACGCCCACGGGTAGAACGTCATGACAACTCCACATACCCAACACTTGAGCCCCCCCCTCCCCGCATGGAACACCGCGAGGGCTCGGCTCACCCCCTCATCATTCCGCCGAAGAGCCCTGCACCGCCGATGCCGCGGCGCCTCCTGCCACTGCCCTTGCCCTTACCGCGGGCCGTCGTCAACGGCGACGGCGAGGGAAACATGCGGTCAACTTGCTGACACAGGAGGATACCAACCTGGACGTGTGCAGAGGAGGGGACAAGTGGGGTGGTTGGTCACGCCAAAATGCGCAAGACACCCAGCTCAATTGACAGGAAGGAGGTAGGGCGTCTGCCTTGGCAATACACGAAAATAAGTATAGCTGCGAGAGACACCCTTGGCCACAACCCCCACTCCCTCTAACGCACATCTTTTTTATGGGCCGCAACTAGGAAGTCCCAAATTCCATCTGCGCCTCCCCCCCTCCACAAACCTCATCCCCAAGCTTCGAACTCACCCCTTCCACAGCAGCAGTCTCCCCAACACCGTGCCAGTAGTAGCCTTCGTCGAAAGTGCCGACCCGTTCACCCCCACAGAAGTGAACGCCGCCTTTTTCGTTGGCGCTGCCGACCCTACGGCTACGTGGGCGGACGAGGCAGATGTAGCTGCGGTCCGGCAAGGGCCCGTGTTTCGCGAGAAGGGACGCCGAACACGGCCCCTCCACGGCGATGACTATGCCCGATCCCTGGAGGCAAGGGTTCTCCTGCAGTTCTAGCACCCTGTCAACAGAAGAACGCCCGCGGAAAAGAGGGGGAGGGGAGAGTTCAAGCAGTCATGCTTGCCTTTTGAGCGTCTTGTCATGCTCTCTTGTCACAACCAATAGCCCTAACACAAATTCCGACCATCATCCGGTGCGTTTGTCAAGAAGTATTGTAGGCGCTACAAAAAACCTTGCCTGACGTCCGGCGTCTGGTCGTGGCCTTGAAGCACCACAACCGCCAGGGGAGGCAACATGTACGAAAAGAGTGCCAGAAACAAGGCCGGCTCCTGCCCCTGTTCCACCTCCAGGAGCGGCGTCGACGGGGCCGTAGGTGGTTGGTCCTTCAGCAGCCGTTTTCCCTGGCAAGCAATCATGCAAGCGAGAAAAAAGACGGAAAGGTTTGACACGTTTCTCTTTCAAAACGCAGCGCGCACGTAGTAGTGCCTACTGGAAGAGGTGCCAAAACATTCGTTGTTCCACAGTAGCGCAACGGCAAGCTTGGAAACGAGCTCCAGGCCCACCCAGCGTACGCAGAGTAGGACGTGGCGGCAAAACATTGGTCCTCCCCGTCAGTCCAGTCCCCCCCCGCCCTACCCACTCTCGTGACCACCTGGATAGCCAATAGCCAACCACAAAAACAAAACCCTTCACTAACCTGCGCCCGTGCTGCGGCGCATGCCTCCACCCCAGCGTCGCGGCCAATCCAAACGTACACCAGCTGCAGTTCTGGATCGTTTTCATCTCCGGCCTCGTCGACGCCGGCTAGATGTGCTACCACGCTGCTGCCGCTGCTGCTGCCGCTGCTGCTGCCGCTGCCACCGCACGGCGATGGAGGTCTACTCTCCTTGAAATGGAACAAGTACGCGTCGGTGGAGGAAAGGACCCCCAAACGACCGTGCTCCACCTCCACGAGGGCAGTGGGTACCGGCCTTCCATGGCCTGGGTGCCAAGTAGGGGAGATCAGCGTGCGTGCGGAAAGGTTCACGCCACAGTACCACCGAGGAAAGGAGCTGGGGTTTTGCTTGTACGGGGTTCATGTGTGTGAGATGCCCTGTACAGATAAGATGCGAACGAACATGACCGGCGTTCATGGGTTTCGCCCACAACCAACGCCCGGCGCCCTTGCCCCCAACCTGACACGAAACCTGGTGATGCGCCAGCGTCTTTCCTTCCCCAGCCCTCTAAGCAACAGCGACCGACGTCAGTCAAGAGTCACCTTCGTTGGACATCCCCGCGGTTGTCCAAGAGCGAACGCCGCCTCTCCTCGTCCGGTAGGAATTCTTCAGCCTCTCCAGAGACAGCGAGGGCACTCTCTCGTCGCCGAGGCTATCGCGGGACAGTCGCAGCGTCCCATGCGACTCATCGAACATCGCCGTGACCTGTGTATGTGAGGTAAATCTTTGTTGTTAGCATCGACCTCGCTAACCAGCTGACGAATGAAAAGACGTCAGTTTCAGTACCGTGAGAAACCGGAAACGCCTCTAAAGGTGACTCCGTGAGGAAGCGTCATGGGGGAGGCTAGGCTATTCTCTGGCGAAAAGGCAGAAATATGTGTGTGTGTTGTGCTTCATGTTGTCGCAGCGAGGACAGACAGGGGTGAGAGTCTCAAATGAGGCAAAGGTGGGGCACGAGGCATCAAGTACTCTGAGGGACAATAGCCCAACGCAAAATCAAAACATAAACAAGAAACGACAAGTTGTATCAAACGTTTTCGTGCCCGAGCGGAATGCCTTGAGGCTACTCAGCCGCATATCACCTCACAACACACAGCACCATTCGGATGTTACACTTCGCGGACACACAAACATGGTCAACCGCAATAGCCCACACACCCCACCGCCTAGCCCGACACGTCCGGGCGGTTCAGCTACATCGGTCGACTTTCTCCACGCCATATCTGCAGCCGTGTCGACCAGCGTGCCAAGCCACACAAGCAGCCTGAAAGCTCCGCAGCCTCACCTCTGACTCGATTGACGGTGCCGTCGGTAGACTGGCATCACCCTGCCGCGGACGCCCCGGCCCGGGCTGTCTAGAGACTCCCGCAGCACCGGCAACACCCCCTGCGTGCCCCACCTTCCCGACGACCCCCAGCCCATCACGTGACGATGCCCCTTGCCCACCAAGCTGTCCCGCCAGATCCCTCAAAACACGCGATGGACTTGCGTCTCCTTTGTCCGCCCCACGTACCCGCGCAGCTGGGGGGGCGGCCGGAACACCAGCTGCAGCAGGAGGACAGGCTGACTTAGCTCCGGCTGCCTTGTCGAGAGAGGGTGGTACGTGAGACGGGAACGCCGGGACGGGGGGGAGGCGAGAAGCGACCGTGGTAGTCTCGAGGCGCACGGGCGACATGGAAGAGGACGAGGACGACGCCCGGCAGCTACCGGCGAGATGCGCGGCCTTCCTTGACGGGGTAGGCTTGGGCGTGTTCGACGGCGTCACTGTCGGCGTTGGCGTCGGCGTGCACGTGGGCGTAGGCGCCGGGATGATGCAAGGCTGCTGCGCCGTTTTCTCTCGGGGCCTGCGGAGCCGGGTGACTCGCTCTGGCGGGGGGGAAGATGAGTTCGACCTGTGGAGGAGTTGCACCAGGGGCAACAGGGGTTATCCCATGACCATGTACGCTGGTGGTGATGGGCAGCGACCTCTTCGTCTCGCGGGGTGCGATTCTACGTAAGGCGCCGGGCCGTGGCAGCATGTTACTCGGGAGTTGCGTGGATCTAAGAACACTATGTTATTTTCGTGTGTCGCCTAGACATGGCGCTCTTGGCGCGGTGTGTGTTGCACGACTTGCTCGAGAGAGGCAATCGGATGTTGGGGTATCGGTCGCTTGGCCTGAACTTCCTCTCATTCACTGCTGGCGGAGCGATCAAACAATGTTGGGTTAGCTCTCAAAGCGAACGTTAGAAGAATCCTTTCAACGGCAATGTCAAAAAGCGATCCTCTGAACGCACGTTTCATAAGACAGTTTGTAGCATCCAACAACCGACAGGGTACATGTGGCTTACGGCCGTTCACCTGCTGCTTCCGACCAACGGTAGTTTGTTCGTGAGCGTTCCCCATTCCATCACAGCCTGACAAAAAAAGACAGAAAAACGTACAGCAGCAGCAGCAGCGAATGCGAATTAACGGTACGCCTGTGAACCTCAGTGACGTTTACCAGCTGGTGGGGTACTTCTCTCGTCCGATATCCGGTGATGGGGATGAGGAGTAATCTGGGGGGAAACTGGTGAGGAATCTGCTGGGAGATCCAAAACTTTACCTGGCGTGTGTGTTCAAAAGAACGAGAGTTTTTTTGCGCGCGCCGCAGGAAACATTGAGCGGTGTCCCTCGCATCTCGAGCCCTCTCGTCTACGTAGCCTGCAACAACATCTGACCAACCAAGATCCGTCTATAACATTTTCCACTGCCATTGGCGGATCCGAGGCACTCTTACGGTTATTAGTCTACTGCGCACTGCTGTGGTGTTGTATCATTGTGGGTGTTCGGTGAATTTGTGCGTCTTGTTAAAAGAGACCGGACCTACGGTTTGATATCTCGGCACCTCTTCATGCAAGGTACACTACGAAGCGACCCCGCTACTTGAACGTACTGCGCAGGGTTCTTGTCTTCCCACGCGGTGTTGTACTCTCGCCGCCCTGCCTTGTATTGTGCTTTCACTCGCGCCGAATGCTCTACACAAAGTCGACAATTGTAGGGAGTCGTCTACTGCTGTAGAGGGAGAAAAAAAATCCAGGAGGGTGTCACACACGCTACACGCGACATGACGAGGTTCCCTTCCTGACATCCATGTTGCTGCAGAGAGGCTCTACAACAGATGTCTATGGAGCAGGTGAGTGCTGGCGTCGTCACTGAAATCCTCCTTGCTGGAAGTCGACACAACCAGCACCCAGCTGTGGGTTGTTCAAACCAAAATCAAACATCTTCGAGGTCTCCGCCCCGCAGGTGGGATTCCTGTGAGCAATTGTAATCTCCGCTATAAAGTCCAACGGTAACAACTTGCACCCGACTGCCGCCGCCGCCGGTGTGTATCCTCTCGCACAGCAAGACACAGCGACTAGGGCATGCATGCCACGTCACGCGCATCAACAGACACGTATACGGGGCACCGGTGGAACAGCTACGCCAGAGGGCTCTCTCTCTCTCTCTCTTCGTGGCGCTGGTCGTGGAGGAGAGGCATGCAGATAGGAAGATCCTTCCTCTGTCGCCCCTACTCTCGGCAGATCGGCAGCAGTAAAAACCTTACCTCAACACCAGGACACGCCCTACGGTGCGTGGAATCCCACCGCAGCGGTGATGTAGAGCATGACGGGACGGCCATACGTGCATCAAAATCGCGCGTTCCCTTGTGTGAGACGACGCACGTTCGCGATGCATGCGTATACGACGCTGGAGGGGGATGGCGGGTGTATTTCGGTTGATGCCTTTGCTTTGGCTTGCGCAACTTGGCTTTCGTGTACAGGGGGTACGCATGCTGCATTGTGCGAGCGTGGGTGGGGGTTTGTCCTCAAGCGCGGGGTGTTTTCGTTTTACCCCCTCTGCTCCGTGCTCTGTGTTCTCTGTTGAGGTGGAAAGAGTTAGAGCGCCGCGCGTGACCGCAAAAGTGTAGTGCGGACGGTGCTGACACGGGAGGCACGCGGGGGAATGAATCCAGGGTAAGTTAGGGGTTGTGTGTGGCGCAGAGCGTTGCGTTGCCGTTGCCACGCCCGAACACTAGAGAAAAAAGGAGCCACCGCGGTCGCGTTTTTTTCAGCAACAACAGCAGGTCAAGGACGAGGCGAGATGTCTCAAGCTGGCAGCAGCAGCAGGCGCCAAACTCAGCGCCAACTGAGCACCATGACACAATCCGCGGTCATCGGCGTTGCGGCTGACCGCAGCGCGGACACCGAGGACTGGTCGCAAGAGTTCGACCGCCCCGCTCCTACTGCTGCTGCTGTTGGCGCTGGAGAGCCAACTTCCCCGGCATCGCGACGTTCGGCGGCACTAAGGCGGATTGCTAGGGAGGACCCTCCGCATCCGCGCCGTCGCGAGCCGCCGCCCACCGTGGTGATGACCTCGACGAGGGCTGTGGAGCCTGCTCCCGCCGCTCGTCGCTCCTCGGCGGCGTCAAGGCCGACGGCGGTAGCCCCGGCGTCTCGCAGCGGTGGCGGCGGTGGCGGCGGTTCATCAGTTGGCCCCACAGGAACAGAGGCAGCGGCAGCAAGAGCATCCGCATCCTCCTCCAGCAGACGGCACCGACCAGACCATCGCGGCAGCGGGGGCAACGGGGGCCGCGCAGCCGACCGTCACGGCGGCGGCGGGAGAGCGCCGTCCCAGCGCGGCAGGGAGGACGGCGGCACTGGCGGCAGAGCGCCCTCCAGCCGCCACGAGGCGAGCAGCCGCTCCGCAGGCGGCCCCCGGAGGGGCTCGCACCCAGCAGAGCAATCGACCGTAAGGTCGTCACAAGGAGGAGCAGGAGGAGCAGGAGGAGGCGAGCGTGTTACCAGCAGCAGCAGCAGCACCGCCGCCAGGCCAAAGAACAGACGCAGAGATCGAGACGCGAAGGACGTCGCCGCCAGTAGACCCCTGACAGCCGCGGCCGGGGGGGCGCCCGCGTCGTTGACCCCCGCAGCAGGGAGACCGTGGGAGGAGTACGACAGCCCGACAGATTCGGAGGTGCCCGCGCCGCAACCTCGCGCGCTGGGTGTGGGGGGCACTACTGACGCCAACGAAAGACGCCAGGTGAGTGAGGTGTTTCAGGAGGAGTCTTAATACAGGTTTTGCTAGCCTTGCGTTTGCCCTCTCGACAATTGCATAGACGGTTCTCGGCAGTCTCTCATGTGTATATCTACATAGCCTGTGGTGCGTTTGCATCCCCGTTACTTGTACAGGGCTGGCAACAAAGAACTTTGCGTTGGGGATTTTTATTTGTGTTGCCAAGCACCTGCTACCTAAATATAGAACAAGGACGGGTGCCGTGTTTGACTGCCGTTGTTTGGAACGGGTTGATGAACAGCCTCATTCAGCAAAGTGTCCGCATTTCGCTGCCATCCTGGTCAAAAGTGTACGGTTTTCCAACAATATCAGGAGACGCTTCTTGCTGTTGAGGGGTCTTCGCTCCGTGCACAAAAATACAGCAGTTCATCTCGGTGTACCGTTGTATGCATACGTTTGGGGTTGTACCACGAATCCTTTTCTTCATCAAGGAATCAGGGTGGAGATTGTCAGAACGTTTTGTGTGATGGCCACACTCGCTCGGCGCATGAAAAGAGGTTGAATGTCTTGCGGACTATGTGCACTTTGGTTGCCTACATAGCAGCATGACAATCTAACGTAAATATCTGCAGTTGTGGAATACGGACGACAGCACTACTGCTGTAATGCGACGAGGGGCACAGTTTAGAATAACAAATGTCGGGAATTCACTGGAAGTTCCGGCTCGTGTTCATACCACAAGAAGCGGTTTGACTTAAGACTTGAGACTTTGGACGTACACCGCAGTCTGGGCGATGCGAAAAAAGAAAAAACACGCAGCAGCAGTACAATACTCTGGATCAGGACGACCGCCACACCCCTTTACGTTAACCCCTTTAGGGCTAGATCTGCTTTTGGGGCCCCATCTTCTTCACCTGCTTTACCTCGCCAAGAATGGCATGATTGTCTCCTCCTTTGAACTACTGTACTCGACCAGGGGGGTGCCGGGGTACACGGGGACGACTCTAGTCTAGTATGGATGCTTTGTAGAGTGCAGGAGTATGAGGGAAATGAACAGGTCAAATCGCGGGACGATTACGCCGCGGGTTGAACAGCAAAGTTGCGCCGCGTCTGTCTACCCTTGGGTGGAAAGTGCTGTTAGGGGCAAGCGCGGAAGAAGTACCTAGCCCACCGTTGATAGGAGGCACCGGGCAACCTAGGGTTTGGGTTAGAAGGTCTCGCTTTCCCGTAGAGAAATATCTTGAAAAACTCCTTTTCGTGCCCCGTTTACCACGCTCCAGCCAGTTTTGTTGTCTATAATCCCTATCAAATGATAGGTCTTTTGGACAAGAGACGGCTCAAGTGGAAAGGCAGTTTTGCACGTGCACCCAGGGATGGAACTGTCTGCACCATCCAATCAGCAGGCGTCGTTCGCTCTTTTTCTTACATGTCACAAATTTTGGAAGAACGCCGAATTTCTCTGCGTGGTAAGGGGGCTAAGCCCATAAGCAAGCTTGCACCGTGGTTGTATTTCCCAAAATCGAAGTTAAAAGATAGAACATCATGCAGCCGAGGCACGGAGCGATCGATGCCTCTGTCAGGCACATGATGAAGAAACCAGCTGTTCGAAAGCCACGTTGAATGCCATATAGGTACCTGTCTCGAGGTTGTTCCAACTCGTCGAGCGTTTTCTCCGGGTGTCGGTTCTCACTCGTCTTGGGCAATAGCACTTCGACAGTTTTGTAGGAGCGAAAAAAAGACCTACTGCTGTATGTGGTTGGGTGTATTGCTTTCGTATCTACCTCCGCCAAGTGACCAATGGTGGTGACAGCCAGAGGCACGATACGGCAGGTTAAGATGTTGAGCACGTGAAGAGAGGCGTAGAGAACAAGAAAACAAGATATCCGACAACAAGCACGATGCGGCGTTGCAGGAAGGCATGGAAGTTTGTTAACATAATTACTCAACAGCAGTGCTTTTTTGGGCCCAGGATAGACGTCGATGGTTGACGTACCTCCAGCGTATGCCCCGTCTGCATCAGGCAAGCCGATGACCGAAAACGAGAGAATCAATATGCTTCATTCCGGAATACTCGACAATCTATTGTCCTCCAGTAAAGAACGTGCTTTTTTCGGGCCCAGGATAGACGTCGATGGTTGACGTACCTCCAGCGTATGCCCCGTCTGCATCAGGCAAGCCGGTGACCGAAACCGAGAGAACCAATGTGCTTCATTCCGGAATACTCGACAATCTAATGTCCTCCAGTAAAGAACGCAACATATCCGCTCAGGTACGGGAGCCGTTTTGTCTAAACCAAGGGTTTTCCCACGATCAACACAACACTGACACGCAGCTACGATGGCATGCACTTGTCTTGTCGCAACAGGCGAACACGAAGTGGCTCAAGTTGTCGACAGGAGAGAGACCCGCGCCACAGCCGGCAACTCTACGCCCCAGCACCACCGCCGGCCGCGGCGCGCAGGACCGCGCGAGCGGCGAGCGTAGCGAGAACCGCGTGCGCGCACGCACCGGCGGCAGCGGGCGGAAGCTGTCGCGCACAAAGCACGATAGCTCCAGTAGTTCCGTGAACCACCAGCACCACTCGCACCAGCACCAGCACCAGCAGAAGCCGAAGGGCGCAAGTGTTCTGTCGTTCGTGGATCCTCAAGCTGAGGTGGGTTCAACGGGCGCGTGAGCAAGCTGTGGTAGGCGGGTCGTACCACGAAGTTCAATTTCTCGGCGGGTGGTGCTGCGAAATCGGTATTCTTGAATGGGACGCCCTTCTGGATTGAAGGATCCCCCCCCCCCCCTCCCGAGGAGGTCGTCCTCCGCAGCCTCTGAAAGGAGTGTACCGAGTATAAGAGGTGCTACCACATGTTCGCCGATGGATGCTCGCGCTGACGCAACAAAACTCTTGCCTTACTCTTGCCCTGCCTCTTTTCTCCTTTGTACGCCACGAACTCGTGCTGAAATGAACCTGACCGTCTCGATCAAGCAGGATGACTCGGAGGGGCCGGTGCAGATGAGCAACCTGGATGGGTTGGGAGACTTGCCCCCCCCTCCTCGGCAGGAGGTGGTGTCGCCATCGCAGTCTGCTTTCGGGCTTCGGGCTTACGAGGATGAGGGCGAGGACGGGGAAGGGGAAGCGCCTCCGGAGGCCGAGAAGGAGGGCTTCGAAGACGACGGCGAGGATGGGGAGGATGACTGGGACACGGTGAGTGTATGTGTTTTGAGGCAAAGGCCGACCACCACAGTTGGAACGCCCTTTGTGTTTGTTTGAGCGTATAATTGTTTTTTGTGGAATGTTGGAAGTGTTTTTAGTTGGTCGTTAGAAATCGTTGTGTACGGTGTTGCCTTCAAGGGTGGACCGTCGCTTGCCCGCGATACAGGGTATGACGTGGCGCTGGTGTCGTCGGCGGGCCCACGGAACTCTACCGACAAAGCCGTCCAATGTCATGTATTTGCGTGTTTGTTCGCCTATAGAACACGGTAGTTCATGCGCAAATTTTGTTTTTCTTGTTTTTTCAGTTTGAAATCTGAACGATCTTCGCGCTTCTGTAGGATACAGAACAACTGCTCACGAGAAATTTCCCGACTCCTCGTATTGCTGCCGCTCTTCTGGCTCTGCCAACTACGTATTCAGGAAATGGGCCTGGAAGAGTTGGAGTACAGCGATCTAGCCATCCGGCTGGATCGAAGCGGGGGGGGTGGGCCCGCCGGAGGGCGGCGAGGTGGCTCGGGCGGGGGGGGTGCGGAGCCGTCTCCTGTCAGCACGGGGGCTGGGGTGTTTGGCGAGGCCGTACAAGCCGCTGAAGCCGGAGGAAGCGGGTAAGGAAAAAGGGTAACGAGAAGAGGGTGCTAGGAGGGATAAAGACGGCGGTGAAATGGCCGGTCTTGATGATCTTGAGTACAACGCCCGGGTGGGGTATCTTGTGTTTGGAGCTCTACTCGTTCATGTTTGATGCGTTGCAGTCGTGCAGTAGTTTCGAACGAAGTCCTGTACAGTGTGGTGCGGACGAAGGGCTTGGTGAATGGGGATGTGATACTGCTGCCTTCTCGTGTTTTCGGGTGTCGCCAGAACGGGTGTTGTCGTGAGCTATTGCCCGCAACCCTTTAAGACACAAGATTTGGACACGTTATGCCGAATCACCGTTCAAGCACCATGACTTTTGGCTGTTTGCATGGCGGGTTCGAGCTCAACACTCCTTCTCTGCGGCTCACCACCCGGCGGCATTATCGCTGCTGTTCGTCTGGTCGTTTCGCAGGTCTACGGCCGGTTCTGATGACGCCGACACGGACTGGGATCTTGAGCTAGGCCTGGTGGGGCCCGGTACGGGAAGGACCGGAGAGCCATCGCCCAACAACGCGCGGGACGTGAAACGCGCCAATATTGCCGAAGGGCTGAAGGCGCTGCTGAGGGGGGCCCCACAGGGGTGCAAGCATCAATCGTAAGTAAACCGGAGCAGTTGGCCTTGTGTGCCTCAGCCCGGGCGTTTATTGTCTTCTTTCCGAGCGGGAGCTGGTTCTGGGTCGATATGATAAGCACCGCGCTGTCTTTTTGCCGCCGGTATGATACCCTTGGTTTAGGAGTGTAGCAGAGAGCGTCAAGTTTGCGTCTGGTTTGGTGCGTCACAGAGGGGCACGGTGCCGGTGATCGGTTGGTCAACAACCCCGACCTCCTATCCTTGGATCTGTCTCGTTGCAGGGGTGCGTCCGACGCCAGGCAGGGGCTGACAGGCGTCCCTGACAAGTGCCGCGTGGTGGGGAGACTGCTCAAGGGGGGCAGGGCAGGTCCCGACGTCACCATCGTCAAGTGAGTTCTACATCGCCAGAAGGGTTGGAGCCAGCTGTATATAGTTACCACGTACGCACCGCAATTCGGACACATGATATCAACCAACGCTCTCGTCAGTTTCATGAATGTCTCTGCTGAGTGCGTCAGCTGCGAATGATGTAGCCGGGAACTTGCGTAACCCCCAGCGTCCATGTGAAGCAAGGCGGTGTTTTGCTGCGGTGCCCCTGGGTTTGATTTCGTGGAGGGACATGTGTTCGGACCGTGTGCTGGCGTGTGTGTGTTTCTCTTCCAGGTACCCCCGGGCGTGCCATCTTCTCTGCCTTCGAGTGAGCGTAGAGCAAGATAGCAAGACCGCGGGGGCGACGGCGGCGCCCACGGATGCCGGGGCCTCGTTTGCAGGGGCGTTGACTCCTTCCAAGGGGAAGGGGAGGGCGATGCACGGGCAGAGGATGGTTGAGTGGCTCGAGGTGAGCACGTCAACAATGGCTCTCTATAATCCGTTCCGAGATTTCGCTGAGTGCTCATGTTTTTATCTGCGGGCAGGGTATCTCCCGTGTGTGTGTGTGGTTCTGCGCGTGAAGTTGTTGCGGGTGTTGTTGGGTTGTGCAATGGGGCGGCCTGTGTGTGTCATAACGTTCTTACTCTGTCGTGGCAGGCGTATGCTGGGATGTTTTTGATAGAAGGACAACTAAGCTCTAGGGTGTACGGCACAGCAATTTTGCTCAAGCATGTTTGGGATGATTGCCCCCCCCCATGTCGAAGCTCATGCTCTCTTGGTATGCCCTGCTCATCCACGGTTCCGTGGTGTGCTTTGCTTGTGGTGGAATGGACCCATCGAAGACCTTGATAAGCAAGAGGGCGGACCTGTACCGCACCAAGAACGAACTGCGCGCGGCAAACTCAAGGCTGGTCAAGGGGCTGCAAGTGATGGAAAAGCGCCTCAATCCTCGCAACACTAAGGTGAGCGTGTAGTGGTCATTCTGCTGTTACCCTTCAACGGTTTCGAATGTCGGGCAGCAAAGGAGGTGTACGTAGAAAATGAGAGCGTGCTGTTTACATTTGGGGGGGGATGTCGTGCGTCCTTTTTGTTTGGCTATTGCTGACAGGGGTATATACGGACACCAACGTTGGTGCCACATTTCGTGCTGATCGTTGTTCGCGCCTTTACCAGCTCGATAAGCCGACTGTCGATACTCTCTCGATTTGCAGTCAAGCACACAAAGCTTGCACTAGCTTGTTACCGACCAATCTACTTCGACGTGCACATCAGTCACCTGGGCTTCCCTTGGGGTTATATCGCAATAATATTTTCCCTTTTGCACTCACGCCGTGTTTCGTGTACACCCCTTGTGCGCGTTGCGTCATGTCACGTGTACCGCCGTGTGGGCGAGACCAGGTGTTCTTGGAGTGCAGCATGTCGACGTGGCGTCTCGGCGAGCGAGAGAGCTGCGTCAGCGTCCTCAAGTCCTACTTCCAGGTACTGGTTGATCTGATCTCAACCACGCTGGTCCTTTCTCACTGAGTCTTGTTGGTGCCTTCGGTGAAGTGTCGTCAAGCCTGTTGTGGAGTGTTTTGGAGTGGTAGGGGTCTCGAGTGAGGCGGCGCTTCGGGGAAGAGCAAGAGCGTGTATGGGTCGGAGCCTTGGTGCACGGTACGTAATTTTTTTTTGGTGTAAGTGCCGTGGTCGACGTAGACTTTGAGGCTAGCACCTCCGACGACATATGATACAACCTTCTCTCTCTCTCTCTCTTTCTCTATCCATCTATCTCTATCTATATATATATCTCTATGTCACACACACACTTTCAGGTCCAACGCTACCGCCTCCTAACCCATCTTGCTCTTCCCGTTCACAACAGATCCTGCGGATGCAGAGCCGAACGAACGCCCGCAAGGCGGCCCAGGGAGGCGGCGGCACCACCCCGCTCGGCTCAGACACAACGAAGGACACCTACACCATGTTCCAGCACACCCTCAAGATGCTGGAGATCGCGTCCCTGCTCCTCCGCCCGAACAGCTCGCTCTGGCTGCTCCGCATGCAGATAAACAGCCAGCACCAGTTTACGGCCGGGGGCGTGGAACGGTCGGCGAGGGGCGTGTTTGGAGACATGCTGCGCATCGCTTGCTCGGCGTTTCCGTCTTATAGGTGGGTCTCCGTGTGAGGTGGCCAGAGAGGAGCAGCCCGCGCTTGATGGATGACCCCGAGGGGTTTCGGTAGAGGCGCAACTCACGCCTGCTGTCGTTTTCGTGGGCGCGGGAGGGTTTACTCACCACCTACGCAGATGTGCACGCCTACCCCGCTTATTTGGCGGGGTGCGCATCCGTCTATGATTGTGTCTTGTACGTGTGGAATGATGGGAGACACTTTTTCGTGTGGCTGGCGCATACCATGGCGGGGTGTGTGCTTGGTGGGCGTCTGGGTGTTTGTGGACGACGTGGTGGCTATCATTTCAGAACAATTTTGTTCCGCATCAACGTGACGTCGGCGCCGTGCGTCTGCGAATGTTAAGTTAGCTGCCGGGATCATTCGCTGGTTGCGGTACTCGCACGGCTACTGTAGTCTGGCCTATCACGTTGCCCCCCGTGTCTTCTTGCGAAATATTTTTGTGCTCCCGCAACGTTTTCCCTTCACACCTCCTCTCCCCGTCGCCCCCCCCCCCCCCAAAA